GCTGAACCTCCACATCAGACTGACAGTGGTAGCTGGAAGGAGGTGGTTTGTCTAAAGCTTTGCTGTGGCAGGTGCAGAACTCACTGCAGCAAAGCCCCCTCTCTAACATCTTTGGCTTGCTAACTTTGCAAAAAATGAAAAAAGGCAAATATTTCTAATGTAAAAACTGGAATATTTCCTTCCCAGGCTATTTTAAATTATTTTCTTAAGTTAATCTGCAACTTGTGAACTGTTGATTTCAACTCCTGTTTGGATTTGCTGGTTTCCATTACACCCTGGACAGAGAAGGCTGAGAGGCCAGCTCCTGATGGGTGGCTGGGGTGGGTGTTTCTGTTTTCCACAGGGTTTGTTGATGACATCATCCAGCCTTCCAGCACCCGCAGGCGCATCTGCCACGACCTGGACGTGTTGGCTGGAAAAACACAGACCAGTCCCTGGAAGAAACATGCCAATATTCCACTGTGAGTGGGAGAGGGGCCTGGCCACGCTGGAGCTGGCAGTGTTCTGAGCACCACTCTAAGGGGAGGTCTGCTTTGCAGTGGAAATACTTATTTTCATTTTGATCTTGCTAATGACCATCAATAAATCACAGTAATTATCTCAATTAATTTGGGGTCTCACCAGTTCATCTCTGTCAGCCCTTGTTGGTGGATTGATGCTCAGCACACCCTGCAGTGTGTGACCTCCTGCTGGAGTTCCATTCCCACGTGCTCACAGGAACTGCTCCCTTGGCTCCTCTCTTCCACAGGTGCTGGAAGTGGCTCTGACAGGCAGAGCTGCAGGAACCTCTCACTGCTGAGCAGTGGAGTTCAAGTCTAGCCCTGGGACCACCTTTAGAGTCTGACTCCACTTCCTGCACCACAAACTTGCAGAGAGAAACATGGTTGGTACCAGTGACCTCCTGGCTGTGGAGAGAGGTGGGACAGAGATGGAGCCAGCCTGCTCCTGAAGGACAGACAACATGCCCAGATTGGAAAAGGGCATTTTTGGTGGGACATAAAAGTTCTTCTCCCTCAGCAGGGGGGCCTTGTCTCCCACAGCAAAGGGCTGACACACAGATCTCCAGAGGCTCTTCCAGCCTAGTTTTTCCTGTGATTATCCAGCCTTGAAAGAGCCTCTGCAGCAGTTGTTAGTGCTGAGCCCCGGGCCCTGTGCTCGCCCCGCTTGTGAGGAGCTGCAGGGGAAGCCCAGCCTGTCCTGGCAGGCTCAGCACTGAGCACTGCTGCACTCAGCTGCCAGGCCCCTGGAGGCCTGGAACAACCTGCTTGGTGTAAGTAACCTTGGTAATTAGCGGCACTATAAGGTAAGACAGACAATTACCCTACCTGCAGACCTCAGCTGCCTCTGTCCACTCCCCAAGCACCACCCAAAGTGGCAGGAAGGTATCAGTGCCTGTCCAGGTAGCAGCTCTTCCCTGGCAGGTGCAGACTCTGCTCAGCACGGTCATGGAGCTCAGAGCCTGTCCCTGGGTGGGCGAGGGGGGGGGGAAAGAACTCATCTGAAAGCAGAGCACAGAGGGAGCATCTTCAGCCTGTGTCACAGCTCCACAGGAACAGTGAGAGGCAATGCCCAGGGTCACAGCTGTGCTGTCCAGGCACCGCAGGTCAGGCTGCTGCAGGCACCTGGCTGGATCAGCACAAACCCTGAGCACCTCCTGCCCAGGGAACAGAGATGACTGCAGCAAGAGAAGGTCAACTGAAATGTTACCATGTTGGGGGTCATTGCCATGAAGTGGTGCAGCATTTGTAAGGGCCAAGAGGATTTTTTTTCCAAGGGTAAGTGGCAGCTCAGATCAGGGCTGGTGGCTGTCACACCTTAGAGGCAGAAGATGTGTAAGGTGAAGCAGTAAGTACAGTTTCTTCAGCCTGCCCAGAGTCAGGAGGAGATACCTGAATGAGAAATCCAATTGTCTTTGTCACAAAGTAGTAAGTACAATCTTTCTTAATTGTCTCCTGACCTCATTAGTTCCACAGACTTCATCTTTCATCTCTTCCCAGCACAAGAACTTGTCTGTGTCCTCTGAGTTTCCAGTCAGTCACTCTGCCAGCACAATGCTTGGGAAGCACACTGGGAATCTGCTCAGGCCACACAACTCCACATTCTCTTGCTTCCAGTCACCTGCAGAACAAACAGATGTAAAATAAGCCCCTTTCAGCAGAGAGCAGCTTTGGACTTGACAGCATGACCAGTCACTCCCAGAGAGCATCAGGAGGTGTAACTTACAGGCAGTTGGGGCTGCAGTGCTGGGCTCAGGTGTCCTGGGGTGCAGTTCAGACCTGAGTCCCAGTCCTGTTCCTCACCTGCTGGACCTTGTTACTTTTTCTGACCTGGCTGTTTTTTCTTCAGGACATGGGCCAGGAGAGAAATCAAGTTTTCTTTAGCACCAGAGATGATGTCATTCATGCGCTGGACAAAAATAGCACCTTCTCCAAAAGGTGGGAATAACGAGGACATTTAGTTTCAGGAATATGTAAAGCTTCCTTTAGCCCAGCTGGTTATTAGACCTTCCAAGCCTTGACCACTTCCATTTCTCCCAGGTTGCTCCACATCACTGGAGGCCACGGGGCAGGAGAGGGCAGTTTCTCTCAACAGTTGTGACAGTTCAAGTCATGAGGTGTTAACAATAAAACTTCACTTATGTGAGGACTTGCCAGATTTACAGCCATCTCCCCAGACCCCTCCCCCCCCGAACTGACCAAAAACACACCACAGGGGAGGGAATGAAGTAAAAAAAAAAAGCCCAGAGAGGGGTTTCCTTTGCTCTGAGGCCAAAGGGGAACCACAGCTGCAGGAAACCAGGTTGTGGCACCTGGACTTGGCCAGAACCACCTCTCAGTGTGTCCTGGGGCTGCTCACACATGGGATGACAAGATGTGATGGCCCAAAGGAGCAATTAAAAGAAAGAGTGAAGAGGGTGCTCATCATACTCATGATTTTGAATAGTTTATTAAATGAAAGGTGAAGCATCAGTTTTAAATTGTACAAAAGGAAAAAAAAAAACCCAAAAACCTCATATTGTAAATGTACAATTTACAGAATTACTAGCAAAACCAATCAAGGAGACACTCATAATACAAAAAAAACCTATTGACTGCAAACTGAACTGGAAACCCATGGCAGGTACCGTGATAACAACTGTTGTTGTACAGTGTTCTACAATGTCCAATTAGGAATCAGTTTTCCACACAGAGGACTGTGAAGCACAAGGTTCGTGTGAGACCACAACTCAAACCAGGCAGCACAGGTGATGCTCACAGGGTTCCTGGGATGACAATTTAATGCAGCTACTCCTGCCCCAGCCCTGGGCCTCCTGGGGGGATGGCAGGGGGAGGGAGGGATGGGGAGTTGAGCAAGTTCCAGCTACTGCTCAGAGCTGAGGAATGGCTGAATTACCTGGGCAAACATTTTTGGCAACGGTGCCTGAGAACTGCACACTTATTGTGTGGTAAGAAACAAACCTCAGCTGCCTGAAATGCTGGTTTGTTTATAAAATTTGATCCTTCCCCTCCCAGCAAGTAAGCACTGGGCTTTCACTGATGGTTTGTCAATAAAGCTCCTAACAGGAAAAAAAAAACAAACAAACCCTGTGACTATTTTGCTAAAAAATAATAAAATCAGCACCTTTAAAGCTGTTGTGCTTGCTGTGCTCCAGGTGGGTCAGTCAGCTTTGGGTCTCAGCTGAGAATGCAGGAAAGGAGGGTTGACATTTTTGGGGCTGATTCTGAGCAACACCAGAGTCAGGGCAAGTTGTGGCTCTGGCAACAGGCCCCTTGGAACTGAGCAGCAGCTGCACTGGGCAGAGTCATCAGATTGAAGCAGAATGAAACTCCAAATTATTGAAGACATTGAAAAATCTCATTGCAATGAATTAGCTGAGAATGGGGGGTTTGGGGTTGGTTGTGTGGGGTTTTTTTGGCTGTTTTAAACTTTTTTAAAAAAATTGTATTTTCCTCTTTTTTTTTCCCCCCAAAGAATTAACTCTTAATGTGCACAGTTAACACTGAAAATGGAGCTGGATTCCATTTGTAAGCTTAAGAACTTCACCATCTAAGCACACATTTCTATGCAGCACGTACAGTACTTCTAACTGGCAAAATTAATTTACAAAAATAGCGCAAAAGGGTATTTATGGCATGGAAAGTAGCCTTTTCTTTGTTTGTTTTACTTTATGGTACAGTTAAAATTGCTTTTAGTATGCTCAAGTGAGTCCTTTCCCCCACCCTTTTAATTACTTTCTTTTTTTTTTTAAATAGGAAAGTTGCTGTTTATGTACCTTGGGTTGGCAGGGCTTGAAGTAGGTAGTAAAAACAGCAAAGTGATTACTTGAGAACCATTTGTGTGTTTTACTGAGAATACTTTATTTGCTGGTATAAGTTGCTAAAAATGCACAGAGCAAGTACCAATAGAAAATTTACTGGTTTTGTGTCCCCATGTGCTATATAAAATGAATGTTACACAGCATCTGTTGGAAAAGTGGCTTCATGGACATCTCTTTATGTCCCGTTATAAATAAAAATAAATCTTCTCAAGAGTATAAAATCTGGGTTTATCATATCAGAATCTGAAATTTTTTGGCAGAGATGCACATCATTAGAATCCTAACCTCTTCTAGAAGAGTGTTCTTCTCAATGCCTACGAGAGGATCTAACGTACCATCGTGTTCATCAAATCCAGTGTGTTCAACAACACTTTCCTGTCGCCAGACTGAGCTGCTGGCAGCCTCGTTGCTAGTCAATGGCTGATAGGCATAGCTTGGATAAAAATGGCTAGCTTTTAAAACATAAAAAGGCAAATGTTAAAACTGTTTTAAATTGTACAGCAGGAAAAAAAAAAAAAGTTAAAAAGTTCTGTTTTCACTCAAGGTTGTTTTCAGAAAACGTGTAGAACAGTGTTTATTTCGGCAGCTGTCGCAACAATTTGAAACTTCCTCCTCATCCAGGAAAGAAAAAAATATCTGTATTAGGACAGTCAAGAACAGGGATACAAATGATTTTTTGGGTCAGCCCTTCTGAGGTGACTGGATTGGCCACCGTTCCTTTGTGTCATTAGGAAGTTCCTCTTCTTTCTGTCACCACAAAAGGGGACTGACCTCAATCATTTGGTTAAAAATCAAACCGTATCACATCAAAAATGTGGGTTTCATACAAGCTATCACAGTATATAGGCCTCTAGCTCTAAACAATAGAGTTCCAAATTTGTAAAATGTCTTCACCAGACTTCAGAACATAGGCATTCCAAATCCCTGGAAAAAAGGATTGAAAACAGTAATTAATGAGGTGCCACGATACCAGCAAGAACCTGAGCCCAAGAGCAAACAGCAGAGCCTTACGGAATCGTCCTCGATGATGGCAGCAGAGTCAAAGAAGTCGGGTCGCAGCTCCGCCCGCTCACGCCGGTTCCTGGAGGGCGGCTAGAGAGAGGAGCAGCCAGTTTAGAACATGACATGGGCTGGTGGCTGCTAACCTGGTTACCTGCTCCTTTACCAACCAGCTTCCCAGGAATCAAAGCTAAACGCAGGCCCCGACCCAGGAGCGCTGGGGACGTTCCCGGTTTAAGGCTCAGGGTAAAAGCTGCTGGATGCTGGAGGAACAGGAACTCTCTGCTCAGCCTTAAGCCTCTGCTTAAGGCTCTTGCTGACTTAACCATGTTCTTCTCTGAGGACTCTGGGCCAGACTGTGTAAAAACTGTTTTAACTGTCTTCAGGCTTTTAAGTTTATGGTGAACCTGTAGCTTTGCCATGGTCAAAAGGTGGATTTAGGAAAAAAAAGGTACTTAAGATGTCAGAGTATTTCTGAGGATTAAACACTTTGTGCTGTCCTTCCCCAGGAGCATAAGAGTAAATGTGAACTTCACTGGCTTGGTCAGTTCCCTCATTTCCTTGCCTTGGATTAGCAGTAAAAGAGGTTTTACTTACTTTATAGTCATTTGAACACTAGTAATAATCTCAGTGTTCAGCAGCAGCAACTGCATTATTGCCTAGATTTTCTTTCCAAGACATTATAGAGTGACCTGTGCCTTATTGTTTGGCTATGAAAGGAGAAATTTGAAAGCATAAAACCAGTGAAGCGTAGAATGCCAACTGATCCTCTTCCCTACTTTACAAGGAAGCAATCACTCCAAACGAGAGGCTAGGAAGGTCATACCCTCTTCAGAGGGAGCCCTGCCTGAGTCAGCACATTCCATGAAAGGACCTGGGGATGCCAGCTTATGGCAGGACCTGTTTGGGAGCAGTTCCAGCAGAAGGGATCACCTCACACCTACCCACTCCTGTCTGCTCTCCCTGCTGCTGTGCCTGCACAGCTCTGTGTGTGGCTGTAAAGGAACCAGACCTTGATGAAGGATCCTCCACCTGCCCCACCTCTCAGAAAAGAAACACACCAGGAAAGACAAGAGCATCCACGTGGTGGGAGTTAGTTTGTGGCTGCATGCAGGGCTGTGTCAGCATGAATCTATGGTGGCTGTGAGCGTGGCAGAGGGGTGGCAACACCCCCTGCAAGGCTGTTGGGTGATGCTGTTTCCAAACTATTCAAAACATCACCAAACATCCTGAATGGAACATTGTCCCTGGATATCTTGCCCATCTGCAGTCCCTGAGGCTGAGCAGGCAGCTCTGGGTGATGGCCACTCAGAGGGGTGGGCTGGGCTCCCCCTGTGCCCCACACTCCTGCCACCCATGGCTGCTGCTCTGCTCTCACCTGCTGCCCCTCATGCACCAGCAACTGTCACCGAGGGTGACAGTCACCCAGGTGTGACAGTTCCAGGGACATGATGGCACTTCAGGCACTCGCTGCTGCCTGAGACCAAACTATCAGGGAGGAAGAGATCAGGAAGAGATCACTTGCTGCTGTGAAAAAAACAACCAGGCCCAAGTCTGCAGTTCAAGTTCTAGGGAGTGTTGGGGTCATTTCTGCTCATTTCTGCTCATTTCTGACATTCAGAGCACAGGAAATCAGGCTCAAAATTTTGCAAGTTTTTGTTTGAGCTTCTAAAATTCCTTTTAAATTATCCTTCATCCCTTTTAAACCTGCTATTAACAAGATCTACTGACCAGATCAATGACCATTGTGTCCTCAAATTCTTCATTCATATCCTCTAGCTGACCTCGTGAGGACATCATTACATCTTCAAAGATGGGCTCAGCGTCATCTTCCATTAGACCTCGTCTGATTCAACACAGAGAAAGAAAATGTCATTTCCAGGCCTTTGAATTTCCCAACCATGATCTTCACTGTGCAGAAGAATGCCCAGATCCTACCCCTTCCTGCCTTCACATAAAGCCTGACACTGAGAACAAAGTCAGCACCATTTCTGTAAAATTATCTGGAAGAAAATCAAACCCAGCACTTGCAGGGGCTAAAGCAGGAAGTCCCATGTAATTTCATCTTAAACAGTAATTAAATTTGTCCCTAACAAGAAAAGAGCAATAACCGCACTGTGTTTGCTTGCCCTTTTACAAAAAGAAGTTACACTCTGCCAGGATCACATCCCAGGGAATCCAGGAGTGAATCCCAGACCAGTTTCTAACACTGTGAGGACTTGATCTTGCTAGAGACTCTGGCCCCCATCCTGGAAAGTCCTGATGTGCTGCAGGACGTGGCAGGAGCCACCTGGTACAACAGGACACTTCAGCATCCCCCCCACATGTCCCCTCCATGGGCTGCCCAGTGAGATACGTGGGCAAAAGATGTGGATAAAAGAAGCTGAGACAGGGTCATGGGACAACAACTGGGAATGGTTCACTGGGAATTATATCACAAAGAAATCCTAGTGCCTCATGGAGACCCCCTGCAGTGAGAACAGCTGAGGGCTGGGAGGGCACTGGGAGCACTGGGCCATGTCTGTGCCCCCATGGGGCTGGGGCAGGACACACAGGGGCTTTGCATGCCTGCAGTACCAGGAGCCAAGGTGGCACAGGGACTATCAGCAACAACCCAGAACAGGTAACACAGAAGGTGGCACTGCCAGCTCAGGTGGTTCTGATCTGCAGAGGAGGGTGCTGTGAACACTTACACTGCGTGTCTCACACCAGTTCTGCCTTTCATGTAGTTCATTCCTGTCCTGTCCTTTCGATTTAAATCTTCTAGCTTCTGTTGGCCCAACCAAGAGATCTGCATCTGGGGACTAACAAACAAACACAAAGCAGCATTAGGGCTGAGAACACCAGCAGTGGTGAGTTGGCTCTTTTTAGACAGTATCTGTCCCTCATGCTTTGGGTCTGGCCACGTTATGATTGATGATTAAATCTCATCCATCACTGTACACATCTTCTGGGTTCCCTTCCACAGCCTGTCTCCTCTCACTGCATGTGCACAAAAAAAGCCAATTCATGATTGTAATAAAAGCAGAGACATAAAATGCTGACATTCATTAGTGTGGGATGCACCTGAAGTGGGAGCACTTCTTAATTTTATTAAATCCTACTTCACTGTCTCAGGTGAGGTAAAACATAAGCAAGAATAGATCCCAATTAATAACTGACACTTTAAAACAAATATGTCACACAGAGTGAAAAACCAATTACTTTTAAATATAAACCCCATCAACCTACATGCCCAGGAATGTACCCACATGTGACCACCTGAGCCTGCACTCAACACCACCTACCAGCAACCTGCTTGGTATGATCTGTATGATTAGCACAAGGAAATAATTAGCAGTAAACTAAGTGCAGCTCTTCAAGAGCAACACCAGCTTTTCTTTCAATATGCAGCCTCATACCCTAAGAAGACTGACATCATAAATTGGGATAACCCTTGTGAAAACAACCAGAACAAAACCTTCTTCTGGACATCATTAACCCCTTTAGCTCAGCAACTGACTGCTGAACTATGTCAACTAAACTTCTTTTATGCTGTAGCTCTGCTCAGGTGACCTGCAGGAGACACAGGGACCTGCAGGCTGAAGGGAAAGGATCCTGTCACACTCTAAGCCTGGCTGTGGAATCCTGCTCTTTGAAAGTACCCGAGGAGAGGGACACTAATCAGCCTTTGCTCCACAGTGCTCTGCTCCCAGCATGAGAGAGGAGAAACAGGGTGAAGGGCAGGGAGCAGAGCCTGGCTCTCCAGGGAAGGGGAAGGTTCTCCCACAGCTCAGGACGTGCTGGCAGGAAACTGTCCCACCTCCCAGAACTAATGCCAAGTTCCCAGAGAGAGATGGAGCTCAGTGACAGGTGAGATCAGAGAGGGTCAGGAAGAAGGTTCTGCTTCAGCAAGTTTCTTTGATTTTATTGCAGAGTAGAAAAATATTCAGGAGAAATTGGGAGCACCAATGTCCTCCTTATCTAGATGTCGTGGCAACCTCTGGGGAGGCAGGAGATTGGGAGGCAAACCCTTGACTTCAGAAGAGCAAGTAAGAGACACCAAGCCAGGCCTCAGAGCCAGGGGTTAATGTGACAAGATGCCCTGGGACTGGCTGAACAGGGGCTCCTCCTCAGCTAGGCATGGTTTGTGGCCAGCTGGGGCTACCTGCGAGCAGGAGCTCTGCAGGGCAGGAAACCCCTGCCCAGACTTGCCTTGTGCTCACCTGTTCTTCACTTTCTGTCCTTCCCAACAGCACAGGCTGGGAAAATGCAACCTCAAGTGAGGGCTCTGGGCAGGACCTGCCCTCACATTGCCCATGGTGATGTGCCAGGGGGCACACAGGGAAAGGGAGTTGGCCCAACTCTTTAATGGAAACACCCACACTTCTGCCTCAGCAATAAGCAGGTATTTGTGAGTATCTCTGTGGTGGGCATGGACTCATGGAGCCTGTCATCATTATGATGAAGGCTGGGAGGGTTGGGGTGTTCAGCCTGGAGAAGAGAAGGCTCCAGGGAGACCTTAGAGCACCTTCCAGTGCCTGAAGGGGCTCCAGGAAAGCTGGGGAGGGACTTGGGACAAGGGCAGGGAGGGAGAGGACAAGGGGGGATGGATGAAAACTGGGAGAGGGGAGATTGAGGTGAGACATGAGGAGGGAATTGTGGAGTGTGAGGGTGGTGAGAGCCTGGCCCAGGTTGCCCAGGGAAGCTGTGGCTGCCCCATCCCTGGCAGTGTTGAAGGGCAGGTTGGATGGGGCTTGGAGCAGCCTGGGCTGGTGGGAGGTGTCCCTGCCCATGCAGGGGGGTTGGATCTGGATGATCCTTAAGGTCCCTTCCAACCCAAACCAGGCAGTGATTCTATGATATCAAGGTTTACCTGTTGCACTGCTGGTGCCTCTGCATGTCATGCACAGAAGCAAGGGAGAAGATCAGGTTATGCTTTCAAGAGTCCATTTGCTTGGTTGGTCAGATTTTATGAGAACTTATGGTCACAAACTGGGAACTCTAACAACTCATCTGCACACCATGGGGGTACACACCCCCTGCCATTTGGGACTGGAGGCAATTTTACCTTCCCAGGTAAAATGACCATTATTAACTATTTCTATTTAGAAAATACAGTGATTGAAAAGCCCAGGGTGAAGTGACATTCTGGAAGAACTGGGAAGCTGGGAAATGTGTATCAGGAAAAATATGATGGACTAAAGTAGAGAGGAAAACCAAGAGGCATGATCTGGCTATTTTACACTGTACAACATTGGTAGAAACCTGATTCATCTGGCCAGCATGATATGACTTTTTGATACAGATAAACCAGCTCAGTGAATTTGCCTCTAAAGTTATAAATAGTTTCCACACCAGTTATTTTTCTTCTGTATCTCCAAATTAATAGAAATATCACATAACTGCATTCTGTGCAGACTTCTCTATTCTTAAATAAGCTACTGACAGATAATAACCAACATTTTCCCCACTAAAAGAAGGTGATAAAATGGGAGTTGAGTGACAAAAAGTACCATTAAGGGCAAAACGGAACTGCAGGCAGTTACCCCAGGAACAGGAATTAGCTCAGCTGCTGGAACTGGATCAGAGAGTTAATTTACAAGAAATCAGTTCAGATGTCTGGAGAACCTTAACTGTACACAGGGCTGAGGGAAAGAAAAGAGAACATCTAACAGATCTGTAGAGAAACATTTCAGTCCAGCCCAGGGCCACAAACACTAGGGAGATTTAACTGTAATCACAGGGTTATGCTATGAGATAATTTGAACATGAGGAATTTCTACCATGATTTCATTAGAATGTTGTGGGGTTTTGGAGAAATGAATATAATGGAAGCATTACTGAGCTGTAGCCAAGACATTTCCAGTTGGTTTTGCAAATAATTGCTGGATTTATGGAGCCACAGACTATGTGTGTAAACAGCTCTTTGGCCTGGTTCACTGTATTTGAAACTGAAATTCCAACACTTACTTGTGTAAAAAATCTTGTTCAGATCCCTGCTCCGACTCGTGCTCCTGGATCTGCTCTCCCATCTGTCTGGTGTTCTCTCTCAAGACAGTTGAGGTGAGCTGTGGTGGCTGCAGTGTCCCTGGGGTGTGGATGTTCTCAGTCCTGTTCAGCCAGGAGCCTTCTAGACTCTCATCTAGAACAAGAACATTGCAGGTCACTGCCCCAGGCCACTCACCGCCCAGCAGCACCCAGCTGGGACCTCCCACCCCCAGACACCCTGCACACACTTCCCTGGAGTTAAGGCACCTTCTCCAAATGTGCTTTTCAACACTTCACTGTCTTTCAAGCCATGTGAGCCTCTGAGAGATCTGCTGCCTCAGTGCTCTAAAGGATCCAATGTTCAGCTCTGACTTTATTTTGGGTTCCTTTAAGGAAGGATTAACAGCAGCTTTCCCTGCTGTAACAGCAGTTTAAAGTGGAAACATTTAACAGCCAAAATAAACCCCACCAAAGGCAACATTGTCTTGCAGCACTACCCACACTATCACCTCTTGCACACTGTGGGGAAGACAATTCCCAGCACCACATAAACACAAGCCTGTCCATCTACACACACACAGGAACCAAGACATGGTGAAACACAGAGGTGAGGGTGGAGGGTAGAACCCAAAACCTGGTCTGCACAGAACTTTAGAAACTTCCTGAAGAATCATTCCAGTGGAGTCCAGAGGGAGCATTTTACAGAAGAGCAGGGTCTGGCTGGCGGGAGGTCTAAGGAGGGAGTTCAGAGTAACCAGAGTTGAGAGCAGGGGGAGGAGATGGGAAGGTGAGGACACAGATAGGTGGGAGGCTAAGCTCCTGTGGGGAAGGAGCCAGGCAGAGGAGCACGGGGCAACTCCAGGGGAAGGGGGCAGAGCAGACGGGGGGAGGCAAGAGACCTGCAGAGAAACAATGTGAGTTGCTGAAACAAGTGCAGGACAGGGGAGAAGACAGTGGAGGAGAAGAGGGAGCACAGATTTACTAACAGGAAGAAATGTGTGATGAGAAAGTAGATGCGCCTCTTATTACCCTTTGGGCATAAATGTTATTGCCTATTTATTCTTGAATTTCCCTTGGAACATATTATAATGCTAGAGATAGATATTTTTTTTTAAAGCCTATTGATGTTTGATTTCCTTAAGGCATTATTACCTGCCTTACATGGAGAGGCTGAGACCTGGGGCTGCTCAGTCTGGAGAGGAGAAGAGGGGGATCTAATTAATGTCTCTAAATACATGAGGGCATCAAGAAGGCAGGGACAAGCTCTTGTCACTTGTGCTCTGGGACAGGACAAGGGGCAGTGGATTCAAACTGGAGCCCAGGAAGTTCCACCTCAACATGAGGAAGGACTTCTTTGCTGTGAGGGTGACAGAGCCCTGGGACAGGCTGCCCAGAGAGGCTGTGGAGTCTCCTTCTCTGGAGACTTTCCAGACCTGTCTGGATGCCTTTCTGAGTGACCTGCCCTGGTTTTGGTCCTGCTCTGGCAGGGGGGTTGGACTGGATGATCTTCAGAGGTCCCTCACAACCCCTGACACACTGTGATCCTGTGATTATGAAGAAATGTCACTGAGCAGATCTACATTCTGCAGCAAAAAGGAAAGTTCTCCAACAGGGGAGAAAGGAACCAAAGGGGACTAGTTGTAGTTCTTTGATGCAAGGATAGTTTATCCAATGACCCCGCCCTTGTTTTAGTTCCTTTAGAGTGGAATTTAAAGAAATGAAGAAAAAAAAGTCAGCATGATTTTAAGAGATGTCCATATTTGAAACTGCTCTGCCAGATCAAGATTGAAGTTAGGACCTTTGGAAGTGTTCTAAAAATATGTAAAGATGAAAACCCAACCAAGATCTGTGTACACAGCACATCAGTTACTCTGTAGGGAACCAGCTGCTTGTTAAGACTGGTTCTTCAAGTTCTATGGATGAGTGAGCAGTGAGTACTTATTTCTGAGGACTAACCCTCTGGTTATTTCATGAGCTCACTATTGGTTCATACAAAGTAAGAGATAAATCTGTGTCTTCCTGTAAAAAACAACCAAGCTCCAGGTTTTCTTGGCTTTCCTCTTTCCAAGATTCCAAAGGAAGTAGAGTTAGGAAGTAAAACAGTTAGTAACACCTACTGCACAGCAAGAGGTGTCCCACAGTGATGTGGTGTCCTTCCAACTGTTTATATTGTTGTAGGTTTTTTTAACATCTGGTATCCAATGTCCTGTATCAATATGTGTCTAAACCAAGCCTGGTGGTGCTTGCATTGCACAGCCCTCCATGGATGGAAAGGCCACAGAGCTCGTGTTGCTGTTGTCACCAGAGAGCACTTGCTGGTCATTTTTCAGTTCTAGCATTTACCAGGCAGTCAAGTTGACCAGCGAAGGCATCTGGGCAGGAACACACAGTTCTGGGCTGGACATAGGATGAGCTGTACATCCTTCCTGCCTTATGCACTGAGGTTGTACAGCAAAGCTTCCAGAGGAAAGGAGGATGTGTGTGGTGATCCCTGAACTGAAGGCCTACTGGGTTTCCCACTGAAGGAAGGAGCATGGAATCACCTGCTCAGCTGTTCTTCACAACGCCTTGGCCTGGAAAGCTGCTCTGTGCCCAGAGCTATGCCTGGAGCCCACCCACCAGAGCAGCCCACCAGAGGCTCCTCAGCCCTTCTGGTCACAGGTGCTGATGGGGGGTCTGGGCTTGCTGTGGGGAGAACTGACCAGGAACAGCTGCAGTCTTGGCTATCATAGCCAGAGTTACAGGGAGAGTAAATACAGACACTGGACATCAATACCATTTTAAATAAAAAAAAAAAGGTGTCTTTTTAGTGCTCCCCAGTGGTCCTGCAAAAACACAGATCTAGTCCAGAATTTCTGCCTTGGGTTTGCTCTGTCACCTGTTAATTAACAAGAGCATTGGCAGAAAACCAGAAGCCCATGATGGAGAAAGGAACAGAGAAGTCCACAAGCACCTCCTGTTCCCAGCTTCAGCAGCAGCTTCCAACAGTTCTGACTCTGCCCACCTCAGTGAAGCCAGACAGGAGGGGCTCACAGAGGAACTTCCCACATTAAAGCTTGACAGGAGCTTGCAGAGCAGATGTCCTGGCTCTCCTACACACAGAATGTACCACAAACCTCAGCATGACCTGACAAACCACGAGGACTCCTCAGAGAGAAGGCTGCACCATGTGGACAAGATGTGAAAAACCTGCCAGGCAACCCAAGCCCACACCAACCTTCTACTCTCTTTTTGTGGAGCGGGGGCCGTCCCTTCTTGTTCCTCACTGAGGAGGCTTTGCTGCTGCTGCTGCCACTGTTGACAGACATCCTATCGTCTTCACCACCCGTGACCAGCGAGTTGCGGTAGGAGATGAGAGGCAGCCACACATCTTCTCTTCTTTCCATCATCTGCTCTGTCAGGAACTTCTCCAAGTAGGAGTGACTGAAAACAGAAGGCAGTGAGTTCAGGGGCAGCACATGCTGCTTCCTCTCAACCAACGTGCAGCCCCTTGTCACGTTGTTGAGAGCTCAACACAAATCCCATCAGGGATTTCCTGACTTCAATGCCAGATGCTGGGGGACACTGGAAGGTTGACTGAGTAAGAACACATTGTTCCCTCAAACCCAAGTTAACCATACACAGGTTACTCACAGGCAAACAATACCAAGTGTTCTCTCTCCAGCACCTCTCCCCACCTCTGTCTGCTATGACAAACCACCCTCTGCTTGAATTCCTTCTCCACTGTGCACAGGGAGGAAGCCACCTGTGAATATTGCTACTGTGTCAACAGACAAACTGAAGGAGAACCCCTGTGGTGAGGGCCCAGGACACCCTTTACCATCTTGGAAGAAGAAAACGGTGTCCTCAAATGCAAGCAGTTTGTTTTCGAGACAAAAATGGAAGATCTGTCCCACTGACATGGAGAAGTCCATTGCACACATGTGAACTTAAGGAAGGTACCAGCAAATCTCCCTCCTCTATATGGCCTGCCTGGCATTTGAATTGTTTTCTTTTTCCACTGACCATTTCTTATGGCATTAGAAGTAGCCCTGGAGCACCTAACACAAGAGGGACATGGATCTCCTGGAAAAGAGTCCAGAGGAGGCCACAGAGATGCTGGGAGGGCTGGAGCAGCTCTGCTCTGGAGCCAGGCTGGGAGAGTGGGGGTGTTCAGCCTGGAGAAGAGAAGGCTCCAGGGAGATCTTAGAGCAGCTTCCAGTGCCTGAAGGGGCTCCAGGAAAGCTGAGGAGGGACTTAGGACAAGGGCAGGGAGGGAGAGGACAAGGGGGAAGGGATGAAAACTGGAAGAGGGGAGATTGAGGAGAGACATGAGGAGGAAATTCTGGAGTGGGAGGGTGGTGAGAGCCTGGCCCAGGTTGCCCAGGGAAGCTGTGGCTGCCCCATCCCTGGCAGTGTTGAAGGGCAGGTTGGATGGGGCTTGGAGCACCCTGGGCTGGTGGGAGGTGTCCCTGCCCATGCAGGGGGGTTGGATCTGGATGATCCTTAAGGTCCCTTCCAACCCAAACCATTCCATGCTTCTAGGAAATCCACATAAAGTGATTCTAATGAATCCCAAGCTGCAGAATCAAGAATTGAGAAACAAGAGATCTCAGGATATTCAACATTGCCTCTGCCCTCCCTGCACCTCCACCAGGGTGATCCTCAGCAATGGTTTCCTTTAATACCACATGCCAGGCTGTCATTAGGGGGCTGTCACACCCACCAGTTCTGCTCCATCTCCCTTTCCCCTCTTTGCTCAGGGCAGGTTCAAGCTTCTCACTGGCCCAGGAGTCCCCCAGGGTATGGCTGAGCAACCACCCCCCATTTCTGATGGGGTTTTGTTCTGACCTACTGAACAGGATGAACTTTCTCAAAACCCAGCAGCCCTTCTGTCCACTGTTTTACTCCATCCTGTGACTGCTTCTTCCTTCCCCTTCCCACATGTCACTGAGTGATGTCCAAACTTTGCACCTAACAGAAAATCCTCAGTTTATGCTAGTTTCAAGTGCTGAAGAGTCACAACACTTGAGTAATTCGTGACTCTAGAGAACTTATCTCTGGAATAGTCTTGCAAAGGACAAATTTTTCCTGCATCCCACTTGTATTTAGAAGACTAGAATGCACAGGTTATGCCCAAATTGTGAAGAAGGCAAAACAACACCAGTTGGGAGTTCTTCACTGCTGAGATGTCAAACTTCAGCCACCTTCTGCTCAGCATTTTAGAGGAGCTTCACCCTGGCTGTCCTCACCAGCTTCAACAAGGAGAGAACCTCTGAGTTACTAGAAGAACTCCATCCTATCTGATGTCAGGCACCCGGTATCAGTTGTCTAGTCTAACAGTCTCCATTGGAGGGAAAGAAATTGAAATAAATGCCTCCTTGGGGCAATTAATCTCTCTGCTGCCTCAGATTAATCCTTCTGCATTTCCCTGCTTGTATCTCCCTCTGTGTGATTTTACCTGTACAACTTTTAACTGTAGGAATCTTTTTTGCTAAGTGTAAGAGCACCTTGAACATACAGTTTTATACTTAAGCCATAGATTTTAATAAATCCATAAATGGCTCTCACTAATTCTGGAGGCTGCTCATAAAAAGCTGAATAAATAAGTAGGATAGGAAAAGCAAATTAAACCCAGGTGGCTGCCCCATTCCCAAACTGGAAACATCTCCCTTTCCTGCCCCCAAAGCAAAAAGCCAGCAGTGAAGCAGAAAGGAAGCAGGAGCTGCAGCAGGTGACAGGCCTGGTGTTTGTCCCAAGGCAGGTCACACATGCAGAGGCAGCAAGTCCTTGTTTTGGGTTGGGAAGCCAAGCTGGGGACTTCTGGGAGCCAGGGAGCTAAATGCTCCTGAGGCTTTGAGGAATTTTCCTGAGTGCTTTTGGCTCCAGACTAACAGCCCAGTGCTGAGCTGAGGGATGATCCAGCAGGGAGGTAAATGATCCTCTTCCCAGGCCTTCTCCAGCAGATGGTGGTCACGTACCTTCCTGCTCCCGGGCAAGCCCTTTGGAGGGAGGGGAGGTCCCTGAGGATCAGGGTCCAGAGAAGGGCACAAGTCCCTGGAGCTGAGGCAGTGGTGGGGAAGGGGGCCTGGGGGCTGCAACCACCCAGAGCTCCCCTGGGAAGGCAAGGAGGGAAGGAGGGAGCAAAGGAATCTTTCCACACAAGCAAGTTACTTTGCCTCTTTTCATAGTCACCACAGCCAGTCTGGGGCATGTCTGAGCTCATCCTGCAGCAGTAATTTAGCAGAGATCAAATAAAACGTGCCCTAGAGGACCTACTTCTTTTCATTGTTCTTTAAATTAATCTGAAGTAAATAGCCCAGATCCAGAGGACTACAATAAAGACAGATAAAATCAGGAGACACAGATTCCACCACAGCAAGCTTCACAGTGCTGCAGAAGAAGCTGGTGGTTGTGTTCATGGCATGAGCAGGAGAACCTTGAGAAAAAGTGTTACATGGCAACACAGAAGGTGAAGGAACAAGATCTCAGGTACTGAATTCCATGCAGAGGGATCAGGGCATATTAAACTGTCATTTAACTGTACAGAATGATCTAACTTTAAATTTTAGACACTGGAGAAACTTGTGGAAGGGATGAAGACTGTACAGGAAGGAAAAAGCTTCACTAAATTAAACAGGAATCTGGCAAATTGCACTTAAACTGACACAGGAGAATCTAGGGTTCAGCTGGAAAGAGAGTCATAAAATCCTATTACCCTTAAGTCCTGTCCTGAAGAACAGCACAGAGACTGACAAGATTCAAGGACATAACATAAAGACATAAAAAAACTGAGTGTCAAGCTACCCCAGCTGGACCATCCAGTTCTCGAGCTTGTTTAACCATTTCTTCTGCTGTGTTTGGTGAACTGACCAAGTGTAATGCAATTAAAAAAACAAATTGGTTCAAGTGTGGATACATTAAAAATTATACAAAGTTAACCAAGATGCACTTCTTATAACACAGACCAAGCTGTAACATTCACAGCTGTTAACCCTAATATAAAAGTCACAGGAGAAGTACAGAAAGAGCTGAGGCAGCTCAAGCAGATACATGTGAGTTACACTCCTTGTGGTCAGCGAACTGACTGGAAAGATCTGTGTCTCCATAAATCAGATGATATGGCAATTGCATTTTTAAAAATGATTGTAAAGTTATTCAAAGAATTCAGTTCTACCCTGGGCACCCAGTGCTTGGCTGGTTTTTGACTGGAATCCTCTGCCTTCTCCCCTGACTGCCCATGTGCTGAGTACTGCCCCTTTCCCCACCTCCCTTCTCAACCCAGCTTTCTCTTTGCCAGATCCACTGGTAGTTGTGGCTTCTCTTGACAGGCTGTTCAAATGCTGCTCATGAAAGAGTATTTCTTCCTCTTTATTCAGCTCTTCTCAACAACACCTCTGATTTACTTTATTTCCAGTACTTCAGCTGCAGGAATTGCCCACCAGGTGAGCTGCAGGCAGGTTTCAGCCTGCCAGTCCTCCAGCACCCTGCTCTGCCCTAACTCCACCAGTGTCATCCCTCAGCCTCTTGCTCCATCCATCTGTGCCAATACCAGAAGCCTTCACAAACCTTTATTTCCCAGTTTAACTCAATATATTAAAATGAATATATCTTCCCATTCTATGTAAATAAAGTGGCAGCTGTGACTGCAGTATTTACAGGTCTGTCCACTCCCTGCACTAACATTTCCTTTCTCTTTTTCTTCTAGCCTGAAGAAAAAGTTTGTTTTTTATTCTTAGAGCCCCCTGGAAAATTTTAAGGAATGTTGTTTTGTGAGGTCTCCAACTCACCTCATCAGTGGGTGTGATTCTCCTGTTGTCATTTTTATTACTTGAAAATATAAAGAGATGAATGACCACGTATGTGAAATGTTTCCCTGGGGCTGCCTCTGGCCCCCCTTAGAGTGGAAACTGCAGAGCAGAGAGCTTGAACACACCCAGCAGTGATGAGCAGAGCCCAGCCCAGCCCACAGAAGGAAAAGGAGCATCACTTACACAGTCTTCTTGTCCTGTCGCAGGAGCTTAGAAGAAAATTCACTGAGCACTTCGAGGAAAGCAAGGTTAGGAGGTGGATAGTCCTGTCCTTTTTGATTCTGATACTTGAAGGCAAACTCGATGCCATCTCTGCAGCAAAGAAATACTAAAATGTTCAGACACTTGTAACAAAAGTTTTTTAAAATGTTGCCAAAAATCTGAACTGTGATGAAATCATTTATATCTTTGCATCCGATTAAAACTTCTCTTTTTTCATTACTAGCAAACAGCTACTTTTGGACAAAGAGGAATCAAATCTGGATCAGTGAGGATTCAGTCTCAGAGGCAACAAGTTGCCTGTGACATGGTAAGAAGGAACTTCCCACAGGTTAAGAAACTTGGGAGGTGCTGAGAGCCACTGGCAGCAGAGCCAACTGGCTCCCTCTTGTCAAAGCAGGAGGTTGCAGTAAGAATAACAGGTGAGATGTGACCAGATAAAACTTCTGCATCAAGGGGCAGGTAAAATAACTCACTAGCACATTGATTCATGCATCTCTGCCTTGTCTTTGCCTAATCATGGGATTAAGAAAAGAATTCACTTTCATTCTCATTTGCTTGGCCCAGGAAAGTGTCTGGTATCATTCTGATCATGCTTTGACCACCTTTGTCTTAATGCCTGAGTCTCTGAGACAGAAAACTTCAGTATTTTAACCTTTTGCTGGCATGGGAAAGTAGTGACTTAAATTTAGCAGCACCTTTCTACACTTGCTGACACAGCAGTTACATAAAAAGCTTCAATCCACTTAAAGCAAACAAACAAACAAACAAACAAAAAAAGATTTAGAAACTATCTTTGGAATATCTTCTAATAAAAGCCCTGGTGCCTACAGGTTTCACAGTGTGTGTGGTCAGTGGTGTGGCCAAAGAACTACCCACAGCTCTTAGATACAGGCCTCAGAAATATGTACAATACCAGTGGTTTTACCTGAGCCAAGCATGGTCATTCCAATAAATGCCAACAATTCACTGGGTAGCCCCTAGTTTTGCTTCCTTTCCCACACACCACATGAACACCCCTGCTTTTCTGCATCAACTAGAAAAAAATCACCATGATTCCTGGACTTGTTAAGATGACCTTTAGAAAAGGTACGCTGAGCAAAAAAGCTGGAATCTGAAGTAACAGAAAAATCTAGCTTATTTACCACCACTCACTTGTGTAGTGTGGCCACAGCCTCTCGTGTCTTGATCTGGTCCAAGCCAAAAGTGAGGGCAAAGCGACGGGCCAGCTCTTTGATGCCACTAACATGGGCAGATGTCCTGTCCAGGTTGGGACCTTGCTCCTGCACAAGCTCATTGAACAGCTAGAGGAAGAATTCGAGTGTTAAAATCGGTGAGATCTTCTTGAGAGAGACTTCTCCTCTTCACCTGTTGGGCTCAGAGTGGACACTACAATGGTGATGGTTTTAACTGAGAGAGGGGAGATTCAGGTGAGATATTAGGAAGAAATTCTTCACTGTAATGGTGGGGAGGAACTGGGATGGGTTGCCCAGGGAGGCTGTTGATGCCCCATCCCTGGAGGTTTTTAAGGCCAGGTTGGAGGGTTTGTGCAACCTGGTCTGGTGGTACCCTGCTCATAGCAGGGGGGTTGGAACTTGGTGATCTTTGGAGTCCCTTCCAACCTTAATGATTCTGTGATGATTCCATGATTTTTCACGAGGGTGTAACAGAGTCCTCTTACATTCAACCTCTAATCCACTTCAGCTCCTAAACTCCCTCCTGTGTCACTGCTGTTCCCATCCTGTTCTCTGGGGCTGGTAACTCCTACACACAATTTCACACTGACCTCCAGTGAACTCTCCCAGCTCACCAGGATGGTTCTGCATCCTCCTGCTGTTTTCTAAAATACCTACATCACCCTTCAGATCAGCATCTCCTCTGAATTTAGGAAGTAAAATTGCCATTCCATCATTCCAGACCCAATGGGTATCTGAGCAGCATCACAGGGTAAACACTCTCTGGCCCTGCTTGACAAAGTCCTTCCACTACAACAATGACCTACTCAGTAGTTTTTCCAGTCAGTTCTAGAGCTGATCCTGGAATTGCCATCAAGACCACACCTTCCTAACTTGCTAATGGCAGTGACAAGGGACGCAGTGTCAGTTACAATATTAAATCACAGTGCATTAAATCTACTCTTTCTCTCATACCATATAAATGAAAGCAGCTTAATTTGACAGTTTCTCCTTGACACTTTCACACTGGCTGGTACCTGTCACTGAGGCACTTGCAAGTGGCTTTTCTGCATTTTTTTTCCCCTAAACTGCTGTTTGCTGACTGGTCTCTGGCACCTGGTGCTCCCTCTGAGCTTCAGAGAGAGGATCTCCTCTGACACTCCCCAGTTCTATCTCTGCTTTTCTCAAGTCTTCACAGATCACTCTCAGCTTCCAGATTGCTACAGAAAACCCTCCACTACTCTGGCGTGAATTTTGGGAAGCTTGGCTGAAAACAGCTGCTTAATAGAAGTGATTTTTCTCTGTCCTGGATATAGCTGGTACTTCAGGGCCAAATGGTCTTTAGAAAGCACAGGGCTCGTGCTGTTGGCAGAACAAGGGTGGGTTTGATCATCAAGTTAATAAATGTAAAGCAAATTGTTCAGGGAAAAGCATGTTTAACAATATTGGAAGACTTAAACTAATCAATTTGAATGGTGAAAAATCTATCAGTATTTAGACACAATATAAAGAAGGTGCATGACTTCCAGCTACTCGTAAGAAGAAAAACTCCTCCTAATTCTTCCAGTACCAGTAAACAAATCAGCTTGGACCAAAGTGCCTTCAAGGCTCTTCTCTCCCTTCCTTCCATTTTAATCTGACCAAAATGTTGCCAGTGTGAGCCCCAGGGGACAGAGATTACTGAGACAAATGAACAGTGACAGCCTGAATTGAGGAGCAAGATGATCTCAGAACAGAAGTATAGTATTTTCACTTCACTGTAAAGGGCACCAGAGAAAATCCTGCCCAGTGAGGCATTTCTAACAAAAATCAATATTCTTACCTGTTGCAAACTGAGAATGAGTGTCTTTGCACACTGGATTTTATCTATTTGCCGTGTTTTACTCAGGGTTTCCTTAATGATATCTCCATAGTCATTGTAGTACTAGGAAAAAAAGGTGGAAAAAACCCTTTTTAAATCAAACTTTTTATACATTTCCTTACAGTTTTCCTGATAGAAAGATTATTTGCAATTCTTGTTTTGAAATGGCAACAGTTGCCAAAAAGCCTAGTCTCAAATCCAGATTTTTGATGTGAGTGGAAGGCAATGTCTCAATATCCAAACTGGACTGATGGGTGGCCTGGCCCCAGTGAGGAGGTAAGGAAGTCTGTAATTTTTATTACCTTTTCTAACAAAATATGTTGAAATACAAACAAAGAGTATTTCTTAGACAAAACTGATTATTTGAGCAAGGTGACACATGGCTGCAAATTCCAAGAAACAACCTGACATTGAGAAGATCCTTCCACAAGTGGGTGGGGACAGTGGCATGAAGCTCCACACACACTGCAGGGTGACTTGCATGGCCAGGAAAGGAATTCCTGAAGCCAAAGAGCTGAGTGAGGACTTGGGCAGCAGGAAGTGCTGATTCTCTGGATGTTAGAAGAATGGCTGCTGAAAGCTGCAGCCTGTGGTACTGACCAGTTGGGTAGGAAAGCCTGGATCATCATTAAAACTTCCAGGCTGAGAAAAGAAACAATTTTCTTTCCAAACAGGATTCTTTCAGCCTCATTAACATCCCTGCATTTGCAGCCACTGCTTGTCATTCCCTCTCAAATATTGCTCCTGCCTTCTTTGGTACAGAAACCCTTCTGGTTTGTATTCTAATTTAAGTTTGATTTTTCTCCCACTTTCAAGAGAAAGATGAGTGTGGGGACAGAAGACCAAGCTAGAGTGGCAGGGAGGAAACTAACCTGGGCTGTGCCAGCTTTGGTTTTCCTGTTTAAAACAACCTTTTCTTACCTAAACCCCTTCTTCCTTATGGCAAGCACCAAGACTGGGAGACTCCCAGTGAAATATGACAGTGAATAGAGAACTGATACTGTGGATTCTAGGAATGAATTTGAGAAGGATAAGAAATTCTGTGTAGAGAAGAGCCTCTCTGGAAATACTCAGCACCTGGTAGGACCAACTTCTGGTGCTGCCAAAAAGCACCCTAAGGCAGCACTCCTGTCACACAGAGCTGCCTGCTCCTCCGTGGCAGGTGTGATTTAGAAAGGAAAATCTATCAACAAAATCAAGTAAAGCTGAAAAAGTTTCCAAAACTGTTCAAGGAAATAGGAGCCTGGACACTACACTCTGTGTCCAGTTTGGAAGAGGAGAATCCCCAGAGCTGTACCTTCATATAGTGTTTGAAGATATCTGCTGCTGCATGCATGTCCACAATGTCATAAATGATCAGCTTGCTAAAGGCAGCCAAAAGGTTTCTTCTCTTATGCAAAGCTTCTATTTTGTTGGCTTCATCTTCTTCATCTCCCTCTGAAAGCATCAACAACAATAAAATCAGTAACTACTCTGCTATAATGCAACATTATTATTTAAAATGGAGGTGAGGTTGTTGCAGGAGAAGCTGAGATGCAAGGTGGTAATTCTGGAGCCCTGGCTGGGTTGGGGCTTTCAGGGAGGCTGAGGAACATGTCACACCATTGCCCAAGAACACTGCTCATGGTCCTGAGGAGGCACCGAAAATAATCCCCAGGGAACTGAACCACCTACTCTCTTCACCCTATGCAAGGCCACAGTGAAGAGTTACTGAATGCTTTTTGTGTACCTTGTGACACAGGGCATGTGGAGATGCCTCATTACCAGGACCAAGCTATGGATAGTCCACATAAGGACAACTGGAAGCAGCAATACTTATACTGCAGGCCTTGGCCTTTCCTAGGAGAAATCCATGGCTCTAAAGCATCAATAACAGCAGGAGGTAAAATTCAGCTGTGAGAAACATTCACACTAAATGGCAATGCCCTAAGGATGGAGGCTCCATGTAGGACTCAACTCTGTGAATGGAAATGAAACTGCACACAGAAGATGATGAAAATATCATATAATAATAAAAGTATATTCCACAAAATAATAAAAATGAGATCAGCTATAAGAGTTGTGAGGAAAATTAATATTCTGTGGTATTTAGAAGAGCTTATTCTTGGAGGGAACCAACCAGTCTGAAGAATTACAGAGCAGCAGGGGGAGGAGGGACTTAGTGTCACTGAGACTCGTGCTGTTGGAGTCTCCACAGAGCTGCAGCACTTCCCACCTCAGAAAAGCTCTTATGAGCAGTGGAGCTGGCTGGGCATGCACGTTTTAATCCTGAGAGATGCTTCATCCCACAGGATCAAAGCCTTCTGGCACACTACTCCCTGTCTTCCCCCTGTTTCTTGATTTATCATTCCTGATGTGATCTGAATACCAAAAAGTTGTCATAAATGGTTAAGACTGACTTCTTGGAGTCAGGACATCATTAAGGAACGCAGATGACATATAAAGATCTTCACCCATCTTTTTTGCTGTCTTGCCAGTCACAGGATGGGAAAGAACAGCAATTTTGCTAAAATGAAAAAAAAAAAAATACTAGACACTGTCCTCCTAAAATGTTTGATGTGTTATTCTGAACACTGAGCTCACAGAGTGTGCTCAGCTGCACACAGACTCCTGGTGAAGGTGTCTCCCAGGATTCTTCCCAGGAATCCTGACAGGAGCTCAGTGAAGACATTTGAGCTGAGAGGGTGAGAAAACTGAAAGCACCTTCAGAGCAAGAACACATGCTTTGAGGTCTCAGCTCTTTCCATATCCTGTTGTCTTAAAAGATTGAAAATAGCATCTCTGTGTCATGCAAACATAGAGTGAGTGCAGTGGAAATGCAGAAAAGGTGTCAGCAGCAGCAGGTCCCCAGCAGCTCCATCCAGAGTTTGCCCCCCTGGGAATCCAACTCTTGCTCAGCACAGTTCAGGATTCAGGATCTGGGCACCTCTGTGTCACACACCAGCAGCACCAAGTTATTTAACAACCCCCAGCTGGCAAATCCACCTCTGGGCAGCAAAAAGCCAAACCCTCAAGTTCTCCTTGCCAGGAGGCAGAGATGGGGTCAGTCCCAAGGTGGCCACGCTCATGTGTCCAGGGAAGCACCAGCTTCAGGTACCCAGGAACCCTCCTGTCTCCAACCACACACCCACATCCTGAGCCTGATGTGATTGTTTGGGGGGGCAGAACAGGGGGTGTTTTTTAGTAAGATCAGAGTTTCTTATGGCCTTCTTTGCCTAGAAGGGCATAAGTAAGGTTTGCCTTTGGGATCCTACTGCTCTATTTAATAACTACACAAGACTTCTCTTTACTGTTCCATTGTGCTTCTTCCCTTGAAGCCATATAAAATCAACTCTGCTGCTGAACTGAGACTGGAGCATTTTGGAAACAAGACACTAAGAAAAACAGAGATCAGTAAAGGAAGAGTAATTTTGCCCAATTTTTGCAGCCTGTAGTTTGCAGGCCACCCCCATGTCTTCCAAAAACATCTCTATTTACAAAGCAAACTTGGTAACTACTTTTTCTTAACACAAGTTGCACTGAGTATTTCACACCTCCCAGAAACAGGGAAGGATTAATTTTGAAAACATTTGAGCCAACTGGTCTGAAATTTCTCTTCTTTCCTCTTGTGTCACGAAAAAAGGGAGGCAGAAAACATGAAAGCTAAACATACCCATGCTCTGGTTTTCATCATCTTGGTCAATAAAGACATGGTCCATCACAAAGCTGAGAAGTTCTGACTGGAGGCCTGAATCTGGATTAAATACCAAGGGCTGAAGACCTTCTCGACCTCCAGTCATCAACTGATGACTAAAAATCATCAAGAGGTCACAGAGCAGCATGAAAGCCTGAAAGGCAAAGGAGAATGAATGCAGTGACTAAAAATATAATAGTATTTATTTAATTTCCTGATACTCCCTGCTATTATTCAACTTCCTGCTTTAACTATATTCAGTTCTTTGTGCTGGGAAGTGTTCCTGAGGGTTTTCCCTAACTTTAAAAGATTATGCCTTTGATCCCTGAAGGGAACTGTGTTTACCACCTCTTCCATGTGCAGGATGATCCATATTAAACTTCCATTTCTCCTCTATCACAAGAACTCCAAATCTACCTCTGATCCAAGGACTGTAGCCCAATTTGGAGTACAGAAAAAGCACTTCTTTGGAGAAACAGTTAGAAAAGTTCAACAAGCAAAAAAAAGAATGATGTTAGGAGGGAAAACCCAAGCTGAGTTACTGTCAGATCCCAAAAATACACAGGAGCAGCTGAAAGCAATGAATTCCTTGCACAATTTCATCAACAATTCTCTGCAAAAAGAATCAAGTCACTCTGCACAGCTTTCAAACCCAGAAAAGAGCCAACCAGGGCAGAAATTTAAGTGATTTATGCTCATTACTGTGATACCCTCGTTACCTGAGAACATAGAAAGAAGGCAGCTATTAATAACTTAATTTCTTTCCAAGGCTTCTGTGTATTCTCCTGTGGCAGGAGAGTGACACTGGTTTCCCCCCAGCTCACACTGTGTCACAGCCAGCTGCTGCATCACGCTCAGCACCTTTCAGAAAGTGCTTTTAATCATCTTAGTTTCTCTGTTTTTAACCTCAGCTACTGAAAACTGAGCAAGAGAGGAAGGCTCCAAGTGAGTTCAAAGACTACAAGATCCCTGCTGGTTGTGCTGGCCCTTCCCAGAGCCTGCAGAGCTCCAGTCTGGGCAGTGTCACCCCACATAGGTGGGAGCCCAAAATCCAAATCATTGTAAAGCACGTGTCTACTTTGGAGACAGATGGCAGGATTTGGGATTTTCCCCTACTGGATCAAACATTGTGATTAATTTCAGCTATCATCCCACCTGCTCTAAACTCCTTTGATACTTACTAGAATTTAATCCCATCCTCTAAAAAAGAGCATATGAATGATGCACTGGAAGAGCTTATTTCTGTCCAATATAAAGGCTGCAGTGGATTTAGATGCAGGTGTCTATATACTGTGGATAAATCTTGTCACAGGCAATTTATCTCACTCAACCAATCTAGGAAAAGTTGAAATGTTTTGAGTTCTGTTCTAGAACCACTGAATGCTTTCTTCCCTCCTTTAATATGGACTTTGGTCTTCTCTGGAAAGACTGTCTAAATGAAGAAGCACACGTGGAATGGGGACAATTTACACAGAAATATCAAAAAACTCCAGTAAAACAAAAGAATTAAGGAACAGTCACAGACTTTTTGAGGAAGAATATGACAAAAATGATACAAGTGGAGGAACCTCTGCAGTCTCTAGTCCAACCTGCTCTGATCTGTCTGTAGGTCTGGCTGGCTGAGGCTTGGTCTAGCTGAGGTTGTGAAGTGTCCACAGAACTGTGAGCTGCAAAGGAGCTTCTAAGAAAAGTTTAAATTACCAATTAAAATTATTTCTGTGCACTAATCAGAAGAGAATAAAACCATGTTAATTCATCTCAGGAACAACAACTCTGCAGTAATGGGAAGGGCCATTTACCATTTGTTGATGCAGGCAAGACATCAGTGGGAGATATTTATGCTACAGTATTTGCATGAAACTAGATGGTATTTACACATTATACAATGTTAATAAAACATGCCAAGAGTAACTACTCAGAATATTAAAATACAATTACTAAAGTTAAACCTGCTGGAACACAACGACACCTCAGGGTCTTTTAAAAATACATGAACTAGCAACATCTCTGAGCCTTTAATATTGATATTTATCAACTTGCAGAACAGTATGTAAATGCCAAGCTGAGCTATCTTTCAAAAAAATACATCTGATTTTTAAGAAGCAGGATCTTTGACAAAACACAGGCAAGAATCACAGTTAGTTACAGCCTCTGTGAAAACCTGGAAGGACTGACAGAGAAACAATTTGCAGGCAACTAAAAGGTGTCATCAGACCCAGTGTAAATCAGCATTATTTGCAAAAGCTCAGCAAGCAAAGCAGTTGTTGTTTTGCAGGGACTGAGACTATTTCAACAAGCATTTTGATTTAATTTCTTTTATTTCAATATCTAGATACATGTAGCAGAAGGTTCCCACTCTAAACATGTGCCTTTCCAAAAATCTAAACCAAAGAATTGGGCAACTACACTGAACCATAAAACCCCACCTGACACCTCCCCATGTAACCATATTTCATGTATCTACTTTTGGCACGTGTGTGCAAGGAGAGCTGTGTGCACTCAAGTTTTCAGTCAGCCAATCAGGCAGTGAAGCAAAGCAACTTAAGCTATGATGAGAATCTAAAAAAAAAGCCCAGATCTTCATATTTGTATCATGAAGACACCACGTTAATGGATATTTTAGTCTGACTTCTCACAAGGAGATACAACTATTTGTCAAGTGAGGATTTTTGCATAGCATGAGAGGACACTACGTTCTTAGTGCTATTCAGAATATTTTTGTGAAATGTATCTTTTTTTTTTTAGGTAGAAAATATACAGGAGCAGGGCTGTGTCCAGTTCTGGAGCCCCCAACATAAGAAGGACATGGAGCTGTTGGAGAGAGTCCAGAGGAGGCCACAGAGATGATGGGAGGGCTGGAGCAGCTCTGCTGTGGAGCCAGGCTGGGAGAGTTGGGGTGTTCAGCCTGGAGAAGAGAAGGCTCCAGGGAGACCTGAGAGCACCTTCCAGGGCCTGAAGGGGCTCCAGGAAAGCTGGGGAGGGACTTGGGACAAGGGCAGGGAGGGAGAGGACAAGGGGGAAGGGATGAAAACTGGAAGAGGGGAGATTGAGGTGAGACATGAGGAGGAAATTCTGGAGTGTGAGGGTGGTGAGAGCCTGGCCCAGGTTGCCCAGGGAAGCTGTGGCTGCCCCATCCCTGGCAGTGTTGAAGGGCAGGTTGGATGGGGCTTGGAGCAACCTGGGCTGGTGGGAGGTGTCCCTGCCCATGCAGGGGGGTTGGATCTGGATGATCCTTAAGGTCCTTCCAACCCAAACCAATCTGTGATTCTAGGATGACCTGAACTGCTAGAAGCTTCAATTTTCCTCCATTAGCCACAATGGGAAACACAGACACAATAACTGATATTCACCACTACTTTTACCTGAATTATTAGGATAACAAAAAAATGAAGTCTCATTCAGGCTTAGGTTTTTCCACTCTGGCTTCAGGCACTTGCCTCTGGCAGGACAGCAGTCCCTCTGCACTCCCTATTAGTCACTAACAGGGGAAAAAAATATCCAGAAATAGGGAGAGAAAGCTTCAGCCCATCTGAGGTCTCAACAATCACCTAGAAGTGCTTATTTCCATCTATTAATTCAGCAAGTGTCAAAAGGAATAGGCCTTTATTTTAGGTGTTTGAGTTAGATGCCTAAAGTTGTGACAGCTGAACATGAGCCTTCTAATCCTAATTGTTATATCCAAAATGGATCTGACATTAGCTGAGCTTGGAAGGCACTTTTAATGCTGCTGCTCTTACGTAGTGTTTGGTCAGTTTTCTTAGAAGGCACAGATAATTTTAAGTCAGGTGTGTTGTTGCCTTTGAATGTTACTACAGTTTAATATTCACGTTTGTAAAAGCCCGTGACAGACATTTCCTTTACCTGTTCCTTGACTGGAGTGTTGACATTTGACAGACACTGCTGGCAGACAGCCAGGAAGGATTTCACTGTTTTCCTCAATACCAGTAAGTCCTCCTAGAACAAACAAGAAAATAATATAGAAATATTAATTTAAAAATGTTGTGAGGAAGAAGCAGAATAAAAAGATGCTGATATCATTTCAGACATTCAATCCAAAACTGGAGAGGCTGTGAAAATACATTCTGTTCATACAGCATGGAGTAAACCAGGTCATTAATGTTCAGAGGAATGAGCCAGGGTTTCCCTGTAACAACAATAAAAGAATACAATTCTGAGTTAAAATTGTCTGATTTACATTAAATGTAAACTGTAAAGGTTTCAGAACAAAAAGGTTAAGACCTCGAGGTCAGGCTCCATGGTGGTTTATGAAGAATTCTGTTCTCAGATAAATCATAGAATCATCATCATAGAATCACAGTAGCATTAAGGTTGGATGGGACCTTAAAGATCATCCAGTCCCAACCCCCCTGCCATGAGCTGGGAACCACTAGACCAGGGTGCACAAAACCTCATTCAACCTGGCCTTAAAAACCTCCAGGGCTGGGGCATCAACAACCTCCCTGGGCAACCCATCCCAGTTTCTCCCCACCCTTAGAGTGAAGAATTTCTTCCTAATATCTAACCTGAATCTCCCCTCTCTCAGTTTAAAACCATCACCCCTTGTCCTGTCACTGTCTTCTCTGATGAAATCACCATCAACCAAGCAGTGAGACACAATGAATGTCTCAAGTTCAACAAAACCATCCTCCTAACTGGTGCAGACGTGGGAAATCACAGACAGCTGAGGAGAAGGGAGGTTTGTTGGTCTGGAGAAAGAACTGTTTGTGGGTGGAAGAGAGCAAGGCATGACTGTTCTCTATCACCTGGCCCTAGAGCCAACGGGTGGGCATTTCAAACGAGGACCCCAGAATGGCAAGTTCAACAGGGAAGATTCTCTGCTTGGAGCTGGGGGGGGCTAATGTGGTACCCTGATGAATTTTAGGGATAACAAGATAAACCAGTGGAAAAAAAATTCCAAAGAAAACATCAGATACTGGAGCATAATCCTAAGAATATGCGAAACAGCTGCAGGAGAAGAAGAACCCTGCCATGAGAGCAGCACAGCCTGCCCCTGCTGCAGCGCCGTGCTGAGCACAGACACGGCTTCTGGCCCAGGCTGGAGCACCCACTCTGTGGGTCAGAAACCAAACACCCCGAGAAACCAGACCCAGAGATCCCTGGGACTGGGGGGCAGCTTCAAGGTTTGTCAAAAGGACTCGTGCTGCCAGTCTCTATGCACCCATTCTGCTGCTCTGCCTTGCCCTGGTGACACATACCGCTGCCCTGCCTGCCCCTGCCCACCTCACCGTGGGGCTCCCAGCACCTGCATCTCCTCCCAGGCCATGGGCAGCTCTGCCAGGGTCCTGCAGGTGACACCAGTGCCCACATGCACCTGGGACCTTTCCCTCCCAGTGCCACCATCACTTGTTTGCTGTAAGGAAGGGATTACTACCTGCCACCCGACTGCTGCAGCCCGTCCCCGTGGCACCCTCCAGCCTTCAGAGGGAACCCAGCATGTCCTGCAGATCACCCAGCCTCATCTCAACAACCTGGCAACACTGGCCTTACCAAAACCTCCAGCTGTCCCTCATACTGTCTGTTCAGCCCATGTGTCTCATTTCCAGTTTTAGCTTTTCTTACGGCTTCCTCTCACAAGATCTCGTTGCTCTTTGTTTACTGGAGCCTTTTCTGTGGCCCATATGTTCTCCCTGCACTGGTTCCCAACAACAGGCAGCCTGCAAACAGCTTGGGTGTTCCTGAATCTCTGCACCTCTTGTCACTTCCAACAGTGAGTGAGATTTTCTGACATGGACACTGAAGGTCTATGAGCTATCTCACCTTCCTATTCCCAATTATTTTTTCTCTGATGATGCAGCCAAGGATCCCAGCCACCACTTCCTCTGTAAGACAGCCTGGCTCTGTTCCAAGTCACAACCTCCCAGATACCAGCCTTATGTTAGGCAGCATTAAAATGCCTCTTTGTTTCTTAAATTGTATCCTGTTTACCTATTGATCTATCACCCACACTTGGAACCCCTTTGCTTTACCTTCCCTGATGACTGCAGGAAATGATCAGTGTCTAGCAAAGAATGGATCTCCTGGACTGCATCCAAAGCTATCCCACTGTGTGATCACTTCCCACTTCTTTCTAATATATCAACCAGCTTTGAGCTACTGAATATGAGTTACATGAAATTCATATAATCACCTGAAATGCAATGGGATTCTGATGTTTTAAACTAGTATTTGAACTGGTTTATCTGTGAGACAAAAATGCAATTGTCTCAAGAACAAACTTATTTGGTCCTTCCAGTCTTACCTCTTGGCCGTGTTCATTTGCACTCCAAGCCTTTTCCAGACTGGCTTTTCTACCAACCAGCCCAAGATTTTGCCTAGAATTGATGCCAGGCTGATCAGTTCAGTGTTACCTAATCATCTGATTTACACCTTGAAACACTGGGATTACAGTCACTTTAATAACTTCCTACTTTCTATCACAATTACCTTCCATTTAGATGTTAATGAATTCCACAGAGAAACTAAAATCTATGAAAAATCCTATCTAAAGGTTAAAAAGTGAACAAGGATGGCTGGCATTTTTCTTACTGTCAAAGAATAAGTAACATGTAGGTACATGTTATTTATTAACCTCTCTCGACAGCACGACAAAGACTCATCCTGAGAGGTTACAGACAGCAGATCACAGAGTGCACCCAACAATGGAGCCATCTGGACCTCTCCTACAGTTGGTGAAACCTCCAGATCACTGTAGAGTGGTGAATTTTTTTTGGTAAGACAAAACAGGAAGGAAAAGAATGAATTTGATTTTCAAGTCTTGCCCCACTGTCAGGCACACAGCCCAGGCTCCTCGGGTGTCAGGCCTTGATATGCTGGTGTCAGCAGAAAACCAGCTATGAACAAAGATTGTGGTCCTCTTGGTTGCCAGGGGGGAACCATGGGGTCACTCTAGGGATGGGATCACTGGTGACCCGGGGCAGCAACAACCCTTTGTTGAACTGCACAGCACAGGGTCTTCACATTTCACTAGTCCATGGCAGGAACCAGAAGGAGCCGCTCAGAGCAAGGACCAGCTTTGCCCCCACCCCTAATGGACCAGCTGTGGTCACACCATGTCCAGCTACAAATCTTCAGTTATTTTCTAGCTTTAAATTGAAGCTTGTTTTTTTCCATTGAGGCCATTTGGAAAGGCTGTGCTTTTGCTAGGTTCATCTACCAAACCTCTTCTTTCCATGTGCCCACTGTCCTTCCTCCCACCTACTTCTCTGCAGCACTAACTCCAGCTCCTCCAGACCTCCTCCTCAACCAAGGAACATGATCCAACCTTTTGCACCTTGTGACTCCTCCCTTTAGGATTTTGTGCTTTTTCTCATTGGGCTCATATAAATATGAAAAGTCACCAAGTCACTACGTTGGGTTTTTTAATTCCTCTTTAAATCCACCCTACTAATCCCTCTGGAATGACTACACCCTTGGCTCAGGGGGCTGCTGCTCCTTCAGAATGTTTCACCTTTGTCTCGTCTCTGAATCCTTGCTCTGTTCATGGCTGGGTCTTTTTTCTTTTTACTGTTTTAAGATTCTGGACTCTATTCTTCTGCAACTATTTCCTTTTTGTTACATACACATACAGTGCAATGGTCCCAGGCACCTGGTTTACTGAATACATGAAGGATGTACTGGATGGGAACAACAACTGTATAATCTAACTCTAGTCTCCTTTGTTCTCCAAGATCTACAGACAAGAGACCTCTTGCTGAGAAATTACCAGCTTCCTTCGAATTTGACAGGCTTTTCTCCAGGCTACAAATGACTGCTCCCACAAACGACCCAGTTCAAACCCCTGGCCCCAGTACCACACTGTTCACCACAAAGAGCATGTTTGCTCACCAAAAGCCCCCATAGACATGGCCTCAGCCTCCTCTGAACGTGGTCAGAGAGGAAGACCAAAGATTAATTGGAGCATAGGACTATGGATATTTCAAGGCTTACACATTTCATCCTTACCTGCTGCAACCCTCCTTTTAGTAATTGCCTTCTCCTTTAAGATTTTAGACACCAAGATGATTCCACAGTTCTCCCTCTTTTCTACAGGCTATGTTGAAAAAGTTTTAAAATAACTCTGCTCCAACTCTGTGCTGTTTTTAACTGGTGGAATCTTTGTTACTGGACAGAGAATTTGGACTTCCTTACTAATTCAAACCATTAGTAATTAAATAACTCTTTTCTTAAAATATCTTTGATGCATCTTTATGCTGATATCTCTTCCTTAAGCTCTGTGGTCAAACCTGCAACCTGCAAATGATGTTACAGAGCGTGGAGGATCCACAGGCACCCTCTTGGTAACAGGCAGGATAAACAATAGCCCACCTAATGAGAACAGGAGGGCAATGGTGCCTGTGAGCGGAACACCCACAGCTACCTGTTCTCAGGGGGTGTTTGCCTAAAAACTGATCATGCTCTCAGGGAAGTTAACAATGAATTTGCTCGAAATTACCAAATTGAACACTAATCACAGAATCACTGCATGTCAGGGGTTGGAAGGGACCTCTGAAGATCATCAAGTCCAACCCCCCTTGCCAGAGCAGGACCAAAACCAGGGCAGGTCACTCAGAAAGGCATCCAGACAGGGCTGGAAAGTCTCCAGAGAAGGAGACTCCACAGCCTCTCTGGGCAGCCTGTCCCAGGGCTCTGTCACCCTCACAGCAAAGAAGTTCTTCCTCATGTTGAGGTGGAACTTCCTGGGCTCCAGTTTGAATCCATTGCCCCTCGTCCTGTCCCAGGGCACAAGTGACAGGAGCTTGTCCTGCCTTCTTGATGCCTTCATGTATTGATAGACATTAATAGGATAATTAGATCCTCCCACAGTCTTCTCCTCTCCAGACTGAACAGCCCCAGGTCTCTCAGCCCTTCCTCATGAGGCAGGTGTTCCAGTCCCTTCATCATCCTTGTAGCCTTCCTTGGACTCTCTCCCGTCCCTCTGGAACTGGGGAGCCCAGAACTAGGAGATTACCAAGAAGCTTTTGAGAACAGTAGGATTCGCCTTGAGAAGAAGTACAAAAGCAGCAGGAAAATGTGGTCATGGAGAGGAATCATGGGGTGGAGCAGAGCAGCAGCCAAACCAGGTTCGGTGGCCCATCCTGCCCACTGGGAGCCCTGAGTGGGGGGCACCCTCTCAAAGGCTGCAGCATTTGCGTGTGGCTGTGGGGGCTCTGGGGTGGGTACAGATGAAGCTGGAGCACCAGCCTCACACAAACAGGGGATCTCAGGCTCCCAAAAGAAGGGCCATGGGCTTGTCCCTCATTTCCTGTGAGAGGGCGGCATGTGTCACTGCAAACTGTTCGTGTCTCCTGGGGAGAGGGGATAGAGCACTTTGTGAACAGCTACAGACTGCAGCTTAATCATATCTTGTTAATAAACTGATGAGCTGACTTGATTCTAATTTAGTTTAAACCACAAGAGTCAAACAGTTTTTCCCTGCCACAGAGGAAACCTCCAGACCAGCACACCCCCCTGGTCAGCCAGAAACCACAACGTTACAGGTGGGAAGTGTCCCTCAGAAAGGAATAAATGTGCCCTGGCCTTGGGCACAATGCCTGGGACAGTTGCCAAAGGAGGGTAATCATCTTAGGAGAGAGGCTGTATTTTTGGAAGAGCCATCTGAACACCAAAGAATAACAGCATTCCAAAAAGATTCTGTTCCCAACTGTACACCCCCAGTTGTCAGCTGTGACTCCACTCTAGAACCAATGCACAAAATCATTAAGCATTTTTGAGCTCTACTCAAAGGAGAACTCACTTTGAAAGAAATCTTAGCAGAACCACCCATCCCACCTGCAAACTTCCTGCAATAAAAGATACATGTCATGGATGCAGAGGAGACCTGATCAAGAAATGTAAGACTTGTCAATTTGTGCCCACTGTTACCAAAATAAATGCTTCCTCTCACGGAAACATAAACACCCTTGAGCCCTGTGCTTCATGCCAAACTGTTTAGATACTTTATCCTGTGCATTGCATGCCTCCATGGGAACTGAGGAGGTGAAACAGAGCAGCAAATATTTGCCAGCACAAACTCACACAAAGGACCCTGCTGGCACCAGATGAATATTTCTTACAAATCAATCCCTGCATCTCTGATCTCTCAGGTTGGATCTCAAGGGAAATCTAAAATATCATCTTCTAAACATGAGCCTGGGAACAAAAATTGATAAATCTGCTGGATGCAAAAAACCAAGGAACACAGGATTAGTTTTATGACACAGTATGAATTCCCTTATCTCCATTAACCTTTTCATCTTTTATCTACCTCCTCTTCCCCACTCTCCAGCTCCTACTTCCTTCCTAGTAACTGTCTTCTCACAGCACCTTTCCCTGCTCCCACTTCCCTGTAGGTACCAACGACCTTCTTTCAGGGACAGTTCCCCTCATCTGTATCAAAACAGAAAAAAAAACAACTGTTCTCAGCTTGCAGTTTGCTTTGTGTTCTTCTATTTCAAACCTGAAAGGTTTGTATGACCAAAGCCTCTGTAATTCTTGCAGCTATTGGTTTGCTGAAGTACTCCAGTCTATGGACCATCACCTCCCTCTGGCTTTACATCATCACAGCTACAGTGAAGTACTAGAAAGCTGGATGGACCTACATGTTGACAGGCTGTGTCAGAAATCTTCCTGTAAATGGAAGTTCCAGAGGAGGCCACAGAGATGATGGGAGGGCTGGAGCCTCTGCTCTGGAGCCAGGCTGGGAGAGTTGGGGTGTTCAGCCTGGAGAAGAGAAGGCTCCAGGGAGACCTGAGAGCATTTTCCAGTGCCTGAAGGGGCTCCAGGAAAGCTGGGGAGGGACTTGGGACAGGGGCAGGGAGGGATGGGATGAGGGGGGGATGGATGAAAACTGGAAGAGGGAGTTTGAGGTGAGACATGAGGAGGAAATTCTGTGCTGTGAGGGTGGTGAGAGCCTGGCCCAGGTTGCCCGGGGAAGCTGTGGCTGCCCCATCCCTGGCAGTGTTGAAGGGCAGGTTGGATGGGGCTTGGAGCAGCCTGGGCTGGTGGGAGGTGTCCCTGCCCATGCAGGGGTTGGATCTGGATGATCTTGAGGGTCCTTCCAACCCAAACCAGTCTGTGGTTCACAATGACATAAAATGACTGTACAGTGGCTGGAGTGATGGAGCAATGGCTCTAATGCCTTTTTAGGCCAGTTGTGTCTCCTCACTGCAATCTCCATGACCTACTTACTTTGGAAGGGGAGCCTTCAGTGATCTTCACCAGCTGCCAGAGGATGGAGTAATGGGAACACTGCAGTGCCTGAACAACGATCTGGAACAGAGGGAACACAGAGCACACCAGCAAGGTGATCAGCAAAGTGGGTGGAAAACTTATAACACATTTTGGGGAGAAAAAAAAAGAAGCTCTTAGGGGGTAGTTTTTTGTTTTCAAGGATCTTACATTTTCCCTTAGTCAGTTTGGTGCAATAAGGAACCAGCTCACTACAAGTGTAAAAAATACTGAGTAAATAACGAAAAACAGAACAGAAAACTGCATTAGAGCACAGCAAGAGGTGTAGAAATCCAACCCCACACCTACATCTCTCCATTTAAACGTATCTGTTTAAATACATCTATTCTAGTAAAAATGGCTGGAAATTTGTTCTATTGTCAAATGAACACGAGACTAATTTCAAAAAAAAAAATAAATAGAAGAAAATTCAAGTTTTCTCATGGAAAAGACTGGGCTTATTATGTTTGTGGTGCCCATAAAACCATCCATGGTGTCTTTTTAACATTTCAAAGCTATATTAGGTGTTTAAAATTTCCAAATTTTTTTGGCTTGTAGATATTTCCAACAGTTTGTGGTTCTGTGCAGAATAAATGAAGTTTGTAACACATCACAAAATACTTTTTTGAAAGGTATGACTGAAGACCAAATTATTGCTCTCCAGCCAACCTCTCCCAGTGGGTTGGGGGAGGAAATACTGAGGAGAGTTGAGCTCTCAGAACCTTCTTAAGATCTCACAGAAGTGTTTGGGGAGCCACATCACTGTCACAGTGGCTGGTGGTGGCACAGAGAGGTTTTATCTCCTGGCCCCTTCTCTCCAGGCAGCACAATTCCAGTAGCCAGAGAGCACAGAAGGTGCATATTTCACTTTAAATATGCTGAACTACTGGGGTCTGCAGCTTAAAAATCCTGAGAACGCGAAATGGTCCCTATGCTCATCCATGAGGAGACTAACACTGAAGTAGGAGAAACCAAGCCCAAGATGTGCCCACTAGAAGAGCTCCACTGGAAAGCCTGGCCAGCATCCCTGCTCAACCTTATTCTTCTTTCCTAGTTTTCATAAACTTCCATCTTACCTTCAGTGCACAACAATAATTTGTGGTAATTGTACCTGTGGCCGAAGTTGACAAGTGTCAGGCTTCAGTGTAAACATGATTGATGCACTGCTTTTCACAGTCAGGACAACAGTTTCTCCTCACTTTACAGATGTGAAAGGTGAGGCAAGTAGCTCAAAAATCACAAAATCCAAGATTTGTTACCTTCTGGACAGTGGCCTTTCACTCAAAACTCCATTTTTTCCTAAATAACTGAAGACTAGTGCATTAATCATTGGTATTGCTCTACAACTAGACTCCTGGAGACCTGGACTCCCCAGAGGATGCAGTGCAGGTGCTGCTGGCTGTACCTGCTCGGGCATGGCTCCGTGTTCAATTCCAGTTCTGAGCAATCTGTAGCAGTTGCTAAACAGATCCCATTTGGTGAGATCGTGAGCACTAGAACGAGAGGGAACAGAGAGAGATCAGTTGTGTTCCTCCAAACTCCACAGCACAGCAAGAATACGGTGTGACCTGACAGCTCTGTGAGCAGTTTAGTAGCTGTGCAAAGCCACCAGCACCCAGGCTGCTGGGCAGGCAGCTGCCCCATCAGCTCACAGACTGATAAACCAGAAGCTGGACTGAGAACTGGGGAGAAACCTTTCCCTAGATGGGGTTTCTGCAGGGAGGTGAGAAACTCTCTGTTCCCCACACACCTTTAAAGGTTACTTGACTGTAGCTATAAGCTGCTTCTCAGTGTTGCCTCTAAATCATCTTTGGTTCTACAGGAGAGCATTGAGGCTGGTAAAGAGACTTGAGGGAAAGTCTTATAGGGAGAGGCTGAGGGAGCTGGGGTTGTTTAGTCTGGAGAAGAGAGGACTCAGGGGGGACCTTCTCACTCTCTTCAACTACCTGAAAGGAGGTTGTAATCAGGTGGAGTCAGGCTCTTCTAGTGACAGGACAAGAGGAAGCTGCTCCAGGGGAGGTTTAGGTTGGATTTCAGGAAGCACTTCCTCGTGGAGAGGGTGATCAGCCATGGGAATGGACTGCCCAGGGAAGTGGTGGAGGCACCATCCCTGGAGGTTCTCCAGGAAAGGCTGGAGGTGGCACTTAGTGCCATGGTCTGGGGATGTGGTGGTGTCAGGTCACAGGCTGGACCTGATGATCAGATGTCTTTTCCAGCCTTGGTGATTCTGTTTAGAATCACAGAATTCTTTGATTTTGTTATTCTAAACCTGGTCAGAATTCCAGAAGGCACTTCCCTGCCATTGCAGCAGAGCTGTGGCCAAAATCCAGCAATGTATATGGAATGAAGAACTGCTTTATGCAAAATAAAGTGACATGGTTTTCTGCCCTATCATTTAAAGTAATAGATATATTAGCACTAGATACTAAATATCTTGAAACACCTAAAGGAAGGCAACATGATACACATGTGTAAGAGACAGAGGTGGTAGCTGCCACCCCCATTCATACTTTCCCAACTTGATTCTCCAGCAAGATGAATACAAATGAGATTAGCAACATATCCTCAAAAGCCTTACAGACCTCACCAGCTTAGGATACAGCTTTTTTAATACAGAACCAAGAAATACATACATAATCACAAAACATCAAGTTTCCTGAAAGTAAAAAATTCTCTCTCACAAAAATGTTCAGGTTTCACACTTTTTTTCTGCAGTGGAATTAAACTAAGATAATTTGAAATAATTTATAATATGCTGATAAAAGAGCAAAGCACCTCAGAATAATCAGAAACCTGGTGACTAAAATACTCACCTGGAAGAAGAGATACTCAGACTGAACGGACAAATCTAAATTGGATAAAACAGCCTCTTGCATCTGACTCCCTTTCATCCCAGCACGTCGATCACCCAGACATGCTCACCTTTTCTACTGCTTTGGAGCTGCCTGACTTGAAATAATTAACTCCCCTGTTCAGCCAGAAAGACTAACATTTAGCTCCAAAACAGACACAGGTTGAACTCAACACTGGAAATGCCTTAGATCCTGTTGAAATCCCCAGTATGAGATGCTTCCCACACTAAAGCCCTCGAGAACCTCACTGATAAAAGGTTTCACAGAACAGTTCATGTCCCTGTGCTGAGAGCAAGTGCAGGATGTGCTCCCGGGCTGTGTCACTGAGCCAAGCTGTGTCCTGACTTCTAAATCGAATCCATGGACATGAACAATAGGAAAACTTCCAAAAAAAGGAAACAAAAATGTAAAAATACTCCCCCCTGCCTTACATTCTGGAGATTCTTCAAAGTATGGAAAGAAAATGCTTCATAGATAAACTATGGGCTGTCAGAGAAGTGCCTGTGCCTGGGGATATTAAGCACATGGAGGCTGCTTCAGCAAGCCACAGGGCTGCTAGCAGAGCAGAGCTGCACCTCCTTAATTACAGCACTGTAATTAAAGCAGTAAAACCTCCGTGGTGTGCAGAGGCAGGTATCAGCAGAGATTATCCTACAGAGAATAGGAAAGAAAAACTGTCTCGTTCCTGCCTTTGCATTTTGGAGCCCTCCAGGTGGGGTGGTTGTGCTGGGGATGTGCCCCATGGCCCTGACAGCTCTGCTGGGAGCCTGGCAGTGCAGCTCAGCTCAGGAAGGGCTTCACAGCTTCCAAAGCTCTACAGAGCTGGAATTTTTCAAGCTGTACAGGGCTTTTCAAGATAAACTTCCTTCAAGAAGAGCCTCCACATTAAACTCAGGCATATTCTGGCCCACCCTTGTCTCTTTTGAGCTGCTTAGCAAACAAAAGTTGCAACTGGACTCAATAAACTCCACACAGTTTCAGGCTGACAGAGGCTCCTAGAAGGAAAATTGACACAATGCAGAATTTTCCCTTAGTGCCTTCCATGTCAGAGTCCCCATGGATTACAGAACACAAGGCCCATCAACCCAAGCTGTACCATGGGCTCTGAGCAGCCAAGGCAGATCCAGTCTGCTGTTGCTACTGAGGTTTCATTTATCATCATTTCTATTTCTGGATATAACAAATTCCTAAGTAATTTACTCTGAAGGATGTACTGCTCAACTACTGGAAACAAGGTTCAGCAAAAGATTTCTGTAACAGAAAGAGAAGATCTGCTGGTGTGACCATGAATCTTCCTAGCTTGGAAGTGTCCTGACTGCTCATGCTCATATTGCTAAAAACATGGCTTGTACCTGCAGTTCCTACAGTCACTACAGGCTTGGGGTGCCCACCTGGAGCCAGGAAGGAATCCCACTCCCTATCCTATTTGAGGACTCCTGGACAGTGGTGCCAACAACTGTGATTTCTAAATGTGAAACAAAGTTCTATATACAAGACAGGATCAAAAGGGCCCATCCAGAGTACTGGAGATGACGCTTGAGATTCATGGGACCTGCACTGAACCAACTGAAGTAATCAAGTAAGAAATGCATGTTTTTTAGCACACAGACTGCTACAGCACTGATGTGTGTGAATTGGGCTGCAGTCAACAGCCAAAAATTGTCTCCATGCACTTACAGAGAGAAAAAAAGGCAATAAATATTAGCGAGACCCTATGCCCTGGTTTGAGCCAGGATAGAACTAATTTCTTTTTCTGTGATTTTACTTTTCAGTTAAATCCCTTCCAAGTAGCTGCAGTTTCTGACACTACCAGCATGTTTTCCAGTCAGTGTCTGCCTTTAGGAGTGATCACATTCCATGTTTATAGTCACAGCCAGAGAACGGTGAGCAAAACCAAGGTCCCTGCTGGGGTCTGAGGAAACCATCTTATGCTCTGGAACTAGAAGGGAGTAAAAGGTCACACCTGGGATCCTCCTTTGGGGAGGAGTGGACCAGACAAGTGACCAAAGTTAACCAAGTATCAGTGATGTCCAGTGGGGCACTGGGCACAAGCTGGAGCACAGGAGGTTCCATGTAAACATGAGGAAAAGCTTTTTCACTATGAGGGTGACAGAGCCCTGGGACAGGCTGCCCAGAGAGGCTGTGGAGTCTCCTTCTCTGGAGATTTTCCAAACCTGCCTGGATGGGTGTGACCTGCTCTTGGGGATCCTACTCTGGCAGGTAGGTTGGACTAGATGATCTTTCAAGGTCGCTGCCAAGCCCAAATATTCTGTGATTTTGTGATCCCATCCCATACATGTCATACTGGGTACAAATTTGAAGGATCACAAGGGGCTCACCCCCTTCATCCATAGCTGGCATCCTGGCAGGACTCCATCTGTTTATCTGCCTTTGATCCCAAAGTTCCTGCACCCTGGCACTCCTGCATCCCAGCTCCCATCTGCCACTGCCTCCAGGAGTCAAGCTGGTGACTCTTCCAGGGCCTGCCCTGCAGCCTTAGGGTGACATGGGTGTTACTAGGGGTGGGGGGAAAGCACCACAGAGCTTTTGTGTATGTTTGTATATATTTATATGTATTTCTTTTCCTTTTCATCACTACTGTCTCATTAAAGCTGTGTAGTTTAGTTTCCAACCTGTAGTAGTAGTTTAGTTTCCTCCCTCTCTTGTTCCCTGTAAGGGGAGGGAGGGGGGTTAACAAAGAGCATCTGTCGTTCATTTCCTCGCTGGCCTGGAGTTAAACCACGACACCTTGGCAAAGAGAGAGGCCCAAGAACACACTCCAGGTGTTCTAGTCAGAAGACCTTAAGAAAATGTATTATTATATTGTGAAAACTTGGAAGGAAGCAATGTAATAATGAATTTCATTCTGCTATCCTTGTTTGATGGAAATAAATGAATTTAAAAGTGTGCTGTGAGCCCTTTGTTGCCATGACCCTCTCAGAAAGGGGGTCACAGCTCAGGCTTGGGAGATCTCAGTAGAGAAGCTTTTTGGTCTGCAAAGCTTTGCTGATAATGCCCTGCCATGTCATTTCCACTTTGCTGGGCTTCTTTTTCCTAAAAGATGAAGAAGCAGCAACTACCAAGGAACACAAGTACAGCAAAGTTTCTCTTTCTGGAAGAAGAGGAATTGGTTTCTTTCCAAATCTGCAGCAACTACTTTATCAGGGCACTTCCACCACATCTGAAAGGTGTCAGTTGTTCACCTGCAATTTCAGCTTCTTCTAATTTCCTTTGGCTCCCATTTGCTGACAGACAGGGACAGTTTCAGACAACAGCCACTGTTCTTGAGATAAGAATGACCCATGTCAGTTTTGAATTGAAGATCCTAATCTCACAGCTACAGGTTTGGCAAAAATTCTGTCCGGGCTGGTACGATTGTTTCCTTTCACAAAGAAACCACATCAGGTGTCACAGTCAGTGGAGTAATGAAAAGATTCCATTACTTCTTATTTGCAAGCAGAGATTAATTAGAAATTCCCACTGAACTGTGATAACAAATCAACTGAGAAATGACACACAGCTGCTCTTCAGCTTTGATTCTTTTCTCTTTCCCATTTTTTTAAGGTGAAGGTAGAAGTCTCTGCCCCCAGCTTGTGTGTTATCCTACAAAGCTTGCTTTATGGGCTGATGGAAATCTCTCGAGATGTGGAACCCTACAGGTAAAAATATACATGGAGGACTCAGAAAAGCCTAGAACCTGTGTATTTCTTGGATGTGAACTGGAGCTTTCACCAGTCCCCTCAGGAAAGGCAGATGTGGCTCCAGCATGTTGCCAGGGAGACTGGAAACCTAATTTGCACGTGTTACCCTGCTGCACTAGGAAATTAGTAACGATTTAATGACCTTTGTGGGACTCTTGCTGAATGGAAACAAAGAGCAGATCTTGCAGAACCATTTCAGACAATGACCCAAAGCAGAATTCAGGGTGAGTGAAGACTAAGCACAAAAAGAAATGAAATCACTAAAAACAATTTGTAGAAAAGAGGTGGCAGGAGCAAAGTCCTCCAGCACCCTGTGAGAAGGAAGGAAGGCTCTGTGCCTCTCATGAAGCTTTCCTACATACTGACCAGGAGCAATTAATTCCTATAGTTAATAGAAGGGGACAATGAGGTCTTTGTGCCACGCTCCAAAATTCTCAGTTCAAGTGAAAATGTTCAGGTTGCTCTACAAGTTTTGTGGGTGCCAGCAGGTCTCAGAGCAGCAGGACTCTGAGGAGCTGCTGCCTGGTTCCACTGAGCTGCATCATGTTGAGTGAGGAGTTTCTGTGCAATCCACACAGCGAGACTTTGCCAACAGTTAAAACCATCTTATGCTCTGGAACTAGAAGGGAGTAAAAGGTCACACCTGAGATCCTCCTTTGGGGAGGAGTGGACCAGACAAGTGACCAAAGTTAACCAAGTATCAGTGATGTCCAGTGGGGCACTGGGCACAAGCTGGAGCACAGGAGGTTCCATGTAAACATGAGGAAAAGCTTTTTCACTATGAGGGTGACAGAGCCCTGGGACAGGCTGCCCAGAGAGGCTGTGGAGTCTCCTTCTCTGGAGATTTTCCAAACCTGCCTGGATGGGTGTGACCTGCTCTTGGGGATCCTACTCTGGCAGGTAGGTTGGACTAGATGATCTTTCAAGGTCGCTGCCAAGCCCAAATATTCTGTGATTTTGTGATCCCATCCCATACATGTCATACTGGGTACAAATTTGAAGGATCACAAGGGGCTCACCCCCTTCATCCATAGCTGGCATCCTGGCAGGACTCCATCTGTTTATCTGCCTTTGATCCCAAAGTTCCTGCACCCTGGCACTCCTGCATCCCAGCTCCCATCTGCCACTGCCTCCAGGAGTCAAGCTGGTGACTCTTCCAGGGCCTGCCCTGCAGCCTTAGGGTGACATGGGTGTTACTAGGGGTGGGGGGAAAGCACCACAGAGCTTTTGTGTATGTTTGTATATATTTATATGTATTTCTTTTCCTTTTCATCACTACTGTCTCATTAAAGCTGTGTAGTTTAGTTTCCAACCTGTAGTAGTAGTTTAGTTTCCTCCCTCTCTTGTTCCCTGTAAGGGGAGGGAGGGGGGTTAACAAAGAGCATCTGTCGTTCATTTCCTCGCTGGCCTGGAGTTAAACCACGACACCTTGGCAAAGAGAGAGGCCCAAGAACACACTCCAGGTGTTCTAGTCAGAAGACCTTAAGAAAATGTATTATTATATTGTGAAAACTTGGAAGGAAGCAATGTAATAATGAATTTCATTCTGCTATCCTTGTTTGATGGAAATAAATGAATTTAAAAGTGTGCTGTGAGCCCTTTGTTGCCATGACCCTCTCAGAAAGGGGGTCACAGCTCAGGCTTGGGAGATCTCAGTAGAGAAGCTTTTTGGTCTGCAAAGCTTTGCTGATAATGCCCTGCCATGTCATTTCCACTTTGCTGGGCTTCTTTTTCCTAAAAGATGAAGAAGCAGCAACTACCAAGGAACACAAGTACAGCAAAGTTTCTCTTTCTGGAAGAAGAGGAATTGGTTTCTTTCCAAATCTGCAGCAACTACTTTATCAGGGCACTTCCACCACATCTGAAAGGTGTCAGTTGTTCACCTGCAATTTCAGCTTCTTCTAATTTCCTTTGGCTCCCATTTGCTGACAGACAGGGACAGTTTCAGACAACAGCCACTGTTCTTGAGATGAGAATGACCCATGTCAGTTTTGAATTGAAGATCCTAATCTCACAGCTACAGGTTTGGCAAAAATTCTGTCCGGGCTGGTACGATTGTTTCCTTTCACAAAGAAACCACATCAGGTGTCACAGTCAGTGGAGTAATGAAAAGATTCCATTACTTCTTATTTGCAAGCAGAGATTAATTAGAAATTCCCACTGAACTGTGATAACAAATCAACTGAGAAATGACACACAGCTGCTCTTCAGCTTTGATTCTTTTCTCTTTCCCATTTTTTTAAGGTGAAGGTAGAAGTCTCTGCCCCCAGCTTGTGTGTTATCCTACAAAGCTTGCTTTATGGGCTGATGGAAATCTCTCGAGATGTGGAACCCTACAGGTAAAAATATACATGGAGGACTCAGAAAAGCCTAGAACCTGTGTATTTCTTGGATGTGAACTGGAGCTTTCACCAGTCCCCTCAGGAAAGGCAGATGTGGCTCCAGCATGTTGCCAGGGAGACTGGAAACCTAATTTGCACGTGTTACCCTGCTGCACTAGGAAATTAGTAACGATTTAATGACCTTCGTGGGACTCTTGCTGAATGGAAACAAAGAGCAGATCTTGCAGAACCATTTCAGACAATGACCCAAAGCAGAATTCAGGGTGAGTGAAGACTAAGCACAAAAAGAAATGAAATCACTAAAAACAATTTGTAGAAAAGAGGTGGCAGGAGCAAAGTCCTCCAGCACCCTGTGAGAAGGAAGGAAGGCTCTGTGCCTCTCATGAAGCTTTCCTACATACTGACCAGGAGCAATTAATTCCTATAGTTAATAGAAGGGGACAATGAGGTCTTTGTGCCACGCTCCAAAATTCTCAGTTCAAGTGAAAATGTTCAGGTTGCTCTACAAGTTTTGTGGGTGCCAGCAGGTCTCAGAGCAGCAGGACTCTGAGGAGCTGCTGCCTGGTTCCACTGAGCTGCATCATGTTGAGTGAGGAGTTTCTGTGCAATCCACACAGCGAGACTTTGCCAACAGTTACACTAGAAACTACTCTTGGTATTTCCATAGGAAGAGAATGCATCTTCCAGGCTCGCATAATAAACTCTTATTATTACTACTACTACTACTTATTTTGAGGAGAAACATCTCAGAGGCATCAAGAAACTGAAACAACTTCCCCCAGGGCTCTCCCAGGCTGAGGCTCAAAGCAGACACTTCAGAAGTGTCCCTTGTGCACTGACTGTCATGCAGGGAAGTACAACTTCTGGTAAGACACTCACAGGGGTAAAAGCTTTTAGTGCAAGGGATGGTTTGCCACTTGCCAATCAAATCTGTACAAGTAATGGCATTAACTAACCATGGACACAGATTAATCCAAACAGTTATACTGCCAAATACCACTAACCATTCATCAATCTCAATATTTCATATTTCAGGCCAAATATTTTCTCATTTCGTGACACTAGACATCAACTGGTAGTCACTGAAGAGATAAAATTAACATAATTCATTTTTGAGAGAAAAAAAAAATCACCTACTTGTGGAAAGAGGTTAATCTCTTTAATGTGGAGAGCACGTTGTATATGTCATCATCATCAGCTTCTTCTCCCTGAAAGTGGAAGGGAAACCATTAAGAGAGCTCAGCAATCCAGCAAAGCACAGCACTGCATGGGGAGGAGCAGGTTTCTCTGGGGGTTTATGTTGACACCAAAACCAATCCCACATTTTCCAATGACTTTTATCTAAACTCCCTAAAAAAGGGAATATTTAAATAACCACTGCATAGCACTAGGAAAGAAGCAAGATCATCTGATCATCAATATTCAGCAGCATCACTGTGTCCAGACTCAAAACAGTAGCAGCTGAGACTATTCCCAAGAATAAAATCAGAATTCTTATTTTACCAACACGACAGAA